ACAGCGTGCCCCGAGCCCTGAGCACGGCCCGAGAGTAACCCAGAAACTCTTCTACACAGCGCCCGGCTGCCTGGCTCTTCTCTGGCCTGGCCCCGTGGGGACGGCCTCCCACCCGACTGACCCCGAGGGCCGCGGGGGCAGCTCAGGGGACTCCTGTGTGTGCGGGTGTGGGTGCGACTGTTCTCAGTCCTGGTAGAAGACACATCACCGCATTGACCGCTGTAACCGTTTCGGCACAAAGTTGGCCATTTTTACACTTGCTTTTTCTTTTCCAGCGTCCGTTTTTCTGGGCACGAGCAAACGGCCCGTCCAGAACCTTCTGTCCTCATCTTCCCCGAGGAGAGCCCAGAGGTGCCCAGAGAGTGCTGGGTCTGTCCCTGGCCCTCTGCGGCCACACCTGGCGGGCTCTGTTCCCAGTTCCCAGCCCTTCCCGGCTCCGGAGAGTCACGGGAAGCTGCGGCTGTGTCTCTGTTCTGTGGGCTCAGGGACACACCGGGCCGCCGCTGCGTTCAGGGCAAGCGCCTGTCTGAGGAAGGCCAGGCGGCTCAGTGGGCAGAACCCTGTGGCCCACCCGCCCGGGGCCCACCTGCAGGGGCTGTGTTTCCTTTCGTGGTCCTGGGCTGGACTCCTTCTGTCCCCCGCCCCCTGGCCACAGCCCAGCCTGGTCAGCTCTGGCTCGCCTGGGCAGTCCCCACAGTGGGCCCATGCTGCCCCTTTCGCATCCCAGCGGCCACGCCCAGCCGTACCCAGGATGGGGGAGACGCCCCACCTCCAGAACCTTCCTGCGGCCATGCCCTCCCCTGACAGCCCTTGGGAATGGAGGTGTTTGGGGAGTCTGTGGGATGCCTCAGTTTACCCTTCTGGACCTTTCCTTAACTGTACAGAGGCGCCATAGAGTGCCCTTTGCCCGCGCAGCACGTGGTCCCGAGCAGGGTCTGCACCCACATGCAGGGGGGCGGCGAGCCGGGCGGAAGACCACCCCCCCCAGCTGGGCAGGGGGAGCCCGCCCCTCCCTGCCCCTCCCACAGGCCCGGAAAGAGGGAGAGGAAGGGAGGGCCCCCGGAGAGAGTGCCTGTAACATGCGGAGACTTGACAAGAGGCTGCACCTGGCACCCAAACCGGGCGGAGGGTGTGGCTGTGGGAGACGGGTGACTCAGCCCTGCGCCCCACTCTGCCCAGGCTGCCTGGGCACCCAGGCTGTTCCCGGGAGCCAGGGGGATAAGGCTGGTGACTCGGCCCCACCCGCTCGGCGAACCCCAGGCCCGGACCCTGGCCCCACCTCTGGCCACCCCGTCCTGCTGGCCCCTCGACCCCCACCCCGCCCCAGCCGGGCCTCACTCGCCCCAGAGCTGGTCGGCCCCACTCTGGAGCCGTCCTGCCCTGCGCGTAGGGCGGGTGTCGGGTCTGGGATGTTTCCCACAACTGGAGCCAGAGTCTGTGGGAGCCGCCGCATCTGGGGATGAAGGGAGTCTGAGCTCTACGCCCAAGGTCTCGGACCCAGGGCTGCCGGGAGACCAGCGACATGGCCAGAAGCAAAGCCCCTGCCAGGAGGCCTCAGAAGGGCCGGAGATGGACAAGCCCTGGGAGTCAGGCCTGGCCCACCGGCCCTGTACTGCGAGCGGGGGGTTTCAAAGTGTCCCCGTAGGTATAGTGGGCCAGTCCGGGTCTGAAACCTGGCACCCGCCTCCCTGAGTCTCACCAGGAGTGACCCCTGAGCACCGCCAGGGGTGGCCCACACAAGTAACCAAAATCCAAGTGTCCCGCACAGCAGCCACTCTGTCCATGGGCAGCAGAGAGGCGCTGGTCCTGCTGCTGAGCTGGGTCACGGCTTATGGGCCGCGGGTGCAGCCCAGGGCCCGCAGGCTGGAGGGAGGGTCACTGCCCACACCAACTTCTGGGGGGGTGGGCATGAGTGATAAATCGTGTCTGGCCTTTCCTGTTTTTAGACATTTTTAAAAACGGGTCTGCAAGCACTGTGGGGCCGAGCAGCTCTGGGCCCTCGGGCCCAGCTGGGCACCAGCCCTGGGCTGGACGAGACGCTGGCCGTTGCAGCCCTGCCTGGCCAGCAGGGGGCGGCAGGACAGTGCTGGCCCTCCTCTGGGGCCACGCACAGCCCACTCTTGGGCGCACTCGCTGTGGCCCTCAGGGTCCCCGCCCGCCCCCTCCAACGCTCCTGGCCAGCCCCCTCCGCAGAACAAGAGGCAGTGAGTGTGGGGGGATGCCTCCCCCTGCCGAGCCCCTGCCCTGCTGGGCTCCTGGGTGCCGGCCCCCCACGGGCCTCTCCCGCCTGCCCATACTGACACTGCACAGGGCTTGGAGGGCACCAGTGTGTGGGGGCGCCCCAAGGGGTGTCACTGGTGGCCCCAGCTCCCATGGGCGTGCCACAGACCACGCCGAGACTGAGTCCACACAACAGGCTGGTCTCCACCGAGGAAGGTCCCAAGGGCAGAAGGGCAGCACAGCACTTGCCTTGCAAGCATGGGCCACAAAGAGGAGCGGAGAGGGAGGGGAAAGGGAGGGAGGGGGGAAGGGTGGGGATGGGAGGGGGACGGAGGGAGAGGAGGAAGAGAGAGAGGGAGGAGAGCTCCCGGATCTCGACCTTCCTAGGAGAGGAAGCCCCGCAGCAGTGGACAGAGCTGGTCCCCAGCACCACTGGGTGCTGGCCGCAGGAAAAGTGCGGTGATCACAGACGGAAGGGGCCGGGGTAGCTCAGGCAGTGGAGGCCCCGGAACACCCCCCTGCAGCAAGTCAGGTGGCCCAGCGAGGAGACAGAGAACAGGACGGGCCGCCTGGGGAGACCAGAGGGCCCACAGGGTCCTGGAGCCTGCTGGCGGGGTGGGGTTGGCACTTGCCTCTGGGGACACCTGGCACCCACCCCGTTGGGGCCCTCCAGGCACACGCTCCTGTCAGAGACCCGGCAGCAGCTGTGGCAGCAGGGTGGGTCCGTGGGGCCTCATCACAGCACAGGACCTGCCCACGGGTCACCAAGCGATTCGGGGCTTCGTCTCCCTGTAGGCACGCCCAGACTTTGAAGATGTGTGCTAGCTCTTCTGGGAGTGTCCCCAGGGGTGTGATTGCCCTTCCCGCTGATAACTAGGATGGTACAGTCCAGGAGGGAACATGGTGACCCGAGGGGGTCAGCAGGGTCCGGAAGGCCCCCGAACGCATGCCTCTGCAGCACCTGGTGACGCCCACCGGAGCCAGGGATAGTCAGAGCTGGAAACCAGGGGTGCGGGAGGCAGGGGAGGGTCTTCCAGGGCTAGGGAGGATGTGAGAATGACTAGAGGGCCGGAATGGTAGTACAGGGGTCGCGGGGCTCACCTCTCATCCGGCCAGCTCTGGTCAGTGCCCAGCACTCGTAGGGGCCCCCAAGCCCTGCCAGGAGTGACCCTGAGCACAGAGCTGGCTGCAGCCAGCTACCCCCCAGGGGCACCCGCCCCCAGAAAGGCTGTGGCATGCTCAGGTTAAAGGACCACTCACGGTTCCTGGGCTGTAGGTCTCAGAGGCTCCAGCCGCAAAAGGCCTGGGAGGAGGGTGGGGAGGTCCGGTGGGCCCCTGGGGACGGCACCGGCCCTCTGGAGCACCTGGGGGAGCCAGTGTGTATGCCGAGACCCCCGGGACTGGCCCTGGGGCTGGTGGGCCCAAGCTGGGCTCTGGTCACCTGACCCATGACAGCCTGGCTGGGGCTGGGGGGGTGGGGGAGTGGGGCAGGTCATTGACGCCCCCACAGGCCAGGGCTCCCCCAGCGCAGGGACGCCAGGGAGCAGAACCTCTGTACTTTACTGTCCGGGAGCCCAAGCGGGAAGGGACAGCCGCGCCTCTAAACCGAACCCTGGCTGCAGCGGCACAAGTGGAAATGAACCGTCGCCATCCATGCCGAGGGTCTCGACTTCAGCCTCTCCACGTTCCCCCGTGCCCGCTACCCCACGGTCCCACAGACAGGAAACCGAGGCCACAGCAGTGAGCCTCCCAGGCCGACAACTGCCAGCCCGGACACAGCGCCTTACACGGCCCGACTGGCGGGAGGACAGCGCCCCCTGGAGGCTGGCGCCGGCTGCTGCAGGAAACCCAAAGCAAACCCGCACCTCAACACCCCAGGGGCAACCCAGCCTGGCCCAAGGTGAGACAGACCCAAGGTTGGTTCTGTCATCTCGCTTTGGGATGACCTGATGCCCACGCAGCCCCAGCCCCAGCGGCTGAGGTACCTGTGCCCGTGCGAGGCAGCCAGAGGCCTGGGCCTTAGCCACATTGGAGGGCTCGCCAGACAGGGTCCCGCCAGCGGCTGCCCTCCTGGAGTGCGGGGGTGCACGAGACCTCACCTGGCAGCAGAGGGTCCCACCCCTGTGGCCCCACCACTGGCAGCAGTGGCCTAAGAGAACACCAGGGGGTCGGAGATGGTAATGAGTAGGTACTTGTCCTGCATGTGGCTGATCCCAGTGTGGTACCCGACACCACCAGGAGCGAGCCCCAAGCAAAGCCAGGAGTGATCCTGAGCACAGAACTGTGAGTCAACGCTGAGCACAGAGCCAGGAGTCAGCCCCAAGCAGAGCCAGGAGTGACCCTGAGCACAGAGCCAGGAGTGATCCCCGAGCACAGAGCCGGGAGTGATCCCCGAGCACAGAGCTGGGAGTGCGCCCCGAGCACAGAGCCGGGAGTGACCCCAAGCACAGAGCCAGGAGTGAGCCCCGAGCACAGAGCCGGGAGTGATCCCCGAGCACAGAGCTGGGAGTGCGCCCCGAGCACAGAGCCGGGAGTGACCCCAAGCACAGAGCCAGGAGTGAGCCCCGAGCACAGAGCCGGTAGTCAGCCCCAAGCACAGAGCCGGTAGTCAGCCCCGAGCACAGAGCTGGGAGCAAGCTGTCTGCTCCATCCATCCGCTTCTCCTCGGTTCCCCTGCCTGCCAAGACACGAGACACGGCAGCTCTGAAAAACAGACACGTAGCCGGACCTTTGTCAGAGTTTATTAGGACACAGATGCTCACCTCTCAGTGCCAACCTGTGTTCAATCCCTGAGCACCACCAGCAGTGGCCTGAGCGCAGGCCCAGCTGTGGCCCCAAGCCCGCGTCCCAGCACAGCGGTCAATCCCTGACTGGGCCTCCCGCGTGGGCGTGGGGTGGCGGCACCAACACGGGTGCTGGGGAAACCGTGAGCAGCTTCCCAAACCAGCCGGGGAGGCCTGCAGGAGCGGCCCTGCCCCCAGAGCCCTGACCTGCCACACCCACGCCTGCCTCCTTCCTCCCTGCTGCCACCTGCTGGGAGGCGGCACCTGACCTTGTGTCTCCCCTGGGACCAGCTGTTACCAGCAGCCCCAGGCCGGAGTCTCTGCTTTGCTCCACACGCGGCGCAAGGCACGCGTGACACACAAACGCCAAGACCCGACCCAGGGTCGTGGAGCCCGGACCTGCCACCTGTCCACGCACAGGAAGCCACTGGCCGCCTGCGTGACGGCCGAGCCCACACCCGTGGCACCACCAGCGGGCAGGAGAGGCAGTGCAGGGGGTCAGCAAAGGCAGCGCGACAGGCACAGGCTGCCCGTGGGCCCGGGAAGGGGGCACGGCGGGTGCGGTGCCCGTGGGCCGGCCGAGGCTGCGCGTGGGCCCGCCGCACCAGCTCCGGCTCACTTGCCCCTCTTCGTCTTGGCCGTCTTCTCCCTCCTCTTCTTCACGTGTTTCGGGACCTTGTTTTTCCTCTTCTCCCTCTGGGCTTCCTTGACCATCTTTTTCCTTTCCTGTGGGACAGAAACCGACCCTAGGACGGCGGGTTTCCCCACAGCACGGCCCACCACGGGGACTGGGGCGGGACGCGCGGAAAGGGCCGCACCCCCAGCATCCCGGAGAACCCAGCAGAGCAGTGACCGATGTGGCCGCAGGTGGCCCCCTGCCCTGGAGCTCTATGAGAGCACGTCCCCAGCGGGGGGCAGAGGGCAGCAGGCGGAGGGGCCGGCACTCGGCACAGGAAGGGCTGAGCTGTGCCACCAACCGGGTGCGGCTCAGGGCTGCTGGGAAGCCCAGGACAGCAACCCGGCCCTGGGCGTGGGTGAGGCCTGTCCTGTGCCCGTGGACGGGGTCAGGGTGCCCGGCTGCAGTAGCCGCCTCACGCCGAGGGAGACCACAGCCCCGCGCAGGAGGGGAGGTGCCCGTGTGCTCGCTGACCTTTTTGTCCACTTCCAGGCCGGCAGTGGCCTTCGTGGACACAGCCTGGTCCTGGTCCTGCCCGTCGGTGTCTGTGTCCGAGTCCTCAGAGCTCGTAGCCTCTTCCGACTCAGAACCAGTCCTGACCGGAACTTGCTTCTCCAGGAGTGCGGGGACCTGTGGAACAGAGGCCTGTCGGTCACCTAGGGTGATGGACCGGGCTCACCCAGGTAACAAGCTGGATCCAGCTCTATTTGGGGAGTGGCTCCGAGCAACACACAGGGGACTCCAAGGGCCAGAGGCAACACTCGGGCCTAACAATTCAGTGCGGGGCCCAGCAGTGCTCAGGGGTCAGCAGGACCACTGGGGTGCCCGGGCGGTCACGCGGCGCTGGGCACCACACTCGCCCTGGGCGCCAAACTCGGCCCTGGGGCGTGCTCCAGCCCGAAGTACCTCTCAGGCCCTGGAGAAGCCGCCGCGTCCGGCAAGCTCTGCTCCAGGACCAGGACGAGCCAGAGAGGCCTGCGGTGGGGCCCGGCTCGGGGCTGGGCCACCGGGAGAAGTGCAGGATCCAAGCCGCCCCAGGGCACGCCACGGCTGCGCTCTGGGAACCGACTCGGAACAGCACCAGGAGGAGCTCTTCTCCCCTGCCTGGTCCAGTGGGTCGGAGTGCAGGGCCGTGGTGGGAACGCACCGTTTCCGGCTCATTTCTGCACCTCCCTGGGCCCCAGGAGACGCCACTCCTGAGCTGCCATCCCGGAAGCCCCCAGCCATCGCCGGGGCGTCTCTCCCAGAACCCCCCGGCCAGGACGTCTGTCTGCTTGTCTTCCTGCAAAGCCCCAGTCCAGGCCACCCTGGCACCAGCACTTGGGGGAACCAGAACCCGAACAGCTGTCTGCGGAGGACAGTCCCAACAGGCAGGGAGGGCTCGGCCTGGAGGGCAGCCCCCGGCTGGCTTCTCCCTGTCCCCGACACTCCGAGCCAGGGCCACCACCACACGAGGCTGGGGCTGAGGGGAGGAGTCTGCCCTGCCGTAGCCAGGCTGCCTTTGGTCCCCGGCACGGCACGTGGTGTCCTGAGCCCCGCCAGGAGGGATCCCCAGCAGAGCTCGAGTGAGGCCCGAGCATCGCCGGATGTCGCCCCCCCAAGGCAAACCCGAAATGAATACATAAAGCCGCTGTCTGTCCAGGAGGTAAGGCGGAACCAGGGACCAGCAGGCGCTGGGCCTGGCCTGACGCAGGTCTGCCCTGGGCTCTGCACGGTCTCCTCGTCCCGGCGGGCACCCGCACACAGCCGACCCCTTGTCCACCTCCGGGCCAGCATCAAAGCTGCAGAGGGCCGGGAGGGGCCTCCGGAGTGGCGTGTGGACCCCCGGCCCCCAAAGCAGCGTAGCCCCCTCATCACTGCTTGCACCCGTCAGCAGGCATGGCGCCTTCCTGCGAGCGGCCGGAGCGCCCTCCTACCTTCTGCACTCCCGACAAGTCCTTCTTCAGGCCCGTGACAGTCTGGTACAGGACCTGGGGGGGCGGACGTGTCAGCCAGCAGTTCCAGGGCAGAGCCGAGCGCAGACCCACTCCCCGCCCACCCGCAGCCCGGAAGTGTGTCCCTGTGGCCGCACACCGTGTCCTGTTGGGCGCCCAGGGCCCTGTCCTCCTCCTTCAGCTTCAGCATGAGGTCCACGTCCCGCTCGTAGTGCTTCACGTCGGTCAGCGTCCGAGGGATGTACGCACGCTTGAACACCTGCAGACACGAGCTCACGTCACTGCTCCCTGGCCACGGTCAGCTCCCCGGAGCCCCAGGCTCAGGAGTGAGAGGCTTGTGTGCAGCAAACCCTGGCCCCACCAGTGACCCCTCAGCAGCGCCAGGAACGGCCCCGAAACAAAGCCAAAGTCCCTGCAGGCGCCAGTCCTATGCGGGCGCCAATAGAGGAACTGGCCGACACCCAACGAGACCCGCCAGGCCCAGTCAGGCCAGGGGCCTCTCACCTCCTCGTCCACGTGGTCCTGGCTGGACCGCTCCTCCTGGGTGCGCCGGGAGGCGATCTCCATGGCCTGGGGACAGAGCAGAGCCGCTGGCACCGGTGGGGCGGGGCAGAGTGAGCCCGGCCCCAGACCCCAGAGCATGGCCCTCACCTGCAACAGGTACGCGTCCATGTTGGCCGAAGTGATGGACGGGTCCGTGACGAACTCGAAGAGCTCGCGCACCGTCATCACCGCCACGCCGTGCTTCAGGAAGAAATCTGTGGGGCGCCCGTCAGGCAGGGTCCAGAGCACCCCCACCCCGCCCAGCTCCCCCTCCTCCCCAATGGCCACACACCGTTGACGTTGGCACAGTCCTTCCGCAGGAACTCCAGGGCGTGCGGGTGGTCGTGCTCCACGGCCTGGGACACGTCGATGATGTACACGCCTCCGCCCTGGTACCTGGGCATGAGAGCACCGTGAGGCGCCCGGCTCCGACCCAGGGGGCTCGGGCAGCCGGGCCCGCCCGCACTCACAGCATGTTGAATTCGCTGAGGTCGGCGTGCACCAGCCGCGCAGTCTGGTACATGCGCCGCATGTCCTGGATGACCTGCAGGTACAGCTCCCGGGCCCTGGACTCCGACAGCGGGACGTTCTTCAGGAGCGGAGCCGGCCTGCAACCGAGACCAACTGTGGGCGCCGCCGCCTTGACTCGGCGAGGCAGCCGGGCTGCAGCACCCCGAGGGGGCAACGGGGATGGTGCAGCGCGGGGACCAGCAGGGCCAGGAGGCGGGCGGGGGCTGAGTGCGGCAGGAGGGGAGCGTGCCGGCCCTGCACTAGACGGGCCGGCTGCACGGCTGCACCTCCCAAGCAGGTGCGGGTCCAACAAACCGGTGACGCACTTGGACGCACCCCGGAAGCTCCTGCGCCCACCACTCCCACACACACGGGGCTCTTTGAGCAAGCTGAGGAAACAGCTCAAAGGACAGGGGCGCATGCTTGCCACGCAGGAGCCCCAAGTTCGGTCCCTACTGCCCCAATGTCCCCTGAGCACTGCCAGGTGTGGCCCAAGAACAAGAAAGGTGATGACCACACACAAGCTGTTTCAGCACCTCACTGAGCATCAGAAAAGTGCCAGGCACACAGACAGACAGAAGGAACACCAGACACTGACGCAGAGGAAGAAGAAACACATCACACGCAGACACACAAGGAACGCACCAGACGCAGACAGAAGAAACCCACAGACTCAACATGCAGAAGAGACCCCCCAGACAGACAGAGAAAGCCACGTGCGGAACCTTTGACACAAGGTAGAAGAGACCCCAACTCCAGAGCCGACCAGGAGAGTGCAGGGGCTGTCAGGCGCAGACCCTTCCAAGAGCCACAAGGTAATGCAGAGCGGACCTGACGACATGCGGTCTGAGGCCCTGAGCCCTGGAGGACAGGTGGTCGGCTCTTTACTTAACACTTGTATGAATCTGCCTTCAGCAAAGGAAGCAAAAGCAGAATTCAACCACGGGGACCATATCAAACCCAAACCCATTGCTTTGGTTGTTTCGGGGGCCACACCCAGCGATGCTCAGGGGTTGCTCCTGGCTCCACACTCAGGAACCACCACTGGTGGTGCTCGGGGACAAGAGGCGGTGCCGGAGATTGAACCTGGGTCAGCCACAATGCAAAGCAAGCGCCCTCCCCGCGGCACTATCTCTCCGTTCCTAAGCCAACACCTTTGGCCTAAACAGCGTTCAGGGGCCCGGGGACCCCTCCAGGTGGTACTCGGCTGAGTGACTGGTGGCTCGGATGCCGTGGTGCTTGTGGCAGACCATGTGTTGCCAGGGATGAGCCAGGACTGGGTACCGGCATGCACAGACCACTGCACTCTCCCCCGCTCCAGTCTCTTTACAGCAAAACAAACAGCGACAAAACAAAATCGGAGAAAACGCTTGCAAACCCAGCCAGACAGCCCATTCAAAACTGAACCGAGGATCTGAATGGCCTTTCACCTGGCCCAAGGAAGCGTCTCAACAGTGGGGTCAGCCCTGCTGGGCGGCCACTCCTGACCCACAGGCAGGAGGAACTGGCCAGAGCACGTGGGAGGGAAAGAAATGCACCTGCCTGGCGGGCGCACAGGGCGCGTCCACTAGGGCACTGGGCACCGCCACCTACTCACATGTCGTCTTTCCCGATGAAGCCCATGACCAGAACGTGACTCCTGAGCAGGACGGGCTCCGGGCATGGGACGCCGGCAGTGCTGAGCCTGCGGCGGGGAGAAGAGGAGCAGGGTGAGGGCAGGGCCACCGAGGCAGTCTGTGCCCGCTGCCAACAGGTGGCAGTCCTTGACACTTCCTCCGTGCCAAGGTGCAGAGGAGGCCCCACACATCAGCCCTCCTTGTGGCCCCCAGCCCGGGCCGAGGGAACCTTGTGGGAGACACACCGGTGAGCCCGATAGGACACGGAGGGAGCGCAGGGCAGCACCGACACCCGCCCCGTGCACGACAGCAGCACGCCTGCGCAGCAGAGAGGGAGCTGGTCAGTTTCCGGTCATCACAGCGGACACCTCAAGTGCCTCTGAGCCCTCGAATGGGGTTGTGGAGACGGCTCAAAGGGCTGAAGCCCCGTGTTTGGCCCCTGGCACCCGAGTCCAGTCCCCTGAGCAGTACTACGGGGAATACCGAGCCCTGCGTCCCTGCTACACCCCCAAACACACTCTCCCAAGCCCATGTCTTAGCCTTGGGTACACACACGCACGTGTAAATAGGACATGCGCACGTGCACACGCACACATGCTGCCCCAAGTCCAGTCTGTAACCTCGGCTCAGCCCAACTGGCCTGCTCGGCCTCTGAGGACAACCAAGGGCGTTGCCGGGGCAGCCACGCAGGAGAGCTCAGAGCCCCCCCAGCCCCGCACTCACCTGATCAAGTTCCTCATCTCCTTTTCAGCCCAAGTCTTCACCATCTTCCGGGGGTTTCCTTTACAGTAGCCATGCCGGAACCTGAGCGAGAGACACACGTTGATCCCATGTGTGTGTCCCCGACACCCTGTGGTGATGGCCGCGGGTCACGTGGCTGGGCACAGCCTCTGACTCACCTGAACTCCCCGCTGACATACTTGTCGCGGTCCTTAAACACCAGGATGGACGTCTTGTAGATCTTGATGGCTCTGCTCTCGCCACTCGACGTGCGGGCGTGGTACACGTTCGCCTGCGCACGGCACAGAGCAGAGGCAGGTGAGGGGCCCGCTGCACGGCGCAGCCACGAGGACTCGGCCGTCTGAGCACGTCGCCTTGAGGGCACGACCTGCGCGGCTCCGAGCACAACTCACCTCCTTCCCGGTGCTGATGCAGCCGTGGATCTCCGATATGATGCCGCGCGTCAGCATCTTGAATAGAATCATCCGGGTTCTGGGATCCAGGACCTAAGGAAGAGGCGCCGATGCCGGCTGAGTCCCCACGGCCGCTTCTCGTGGGCTGAGGTGCTGTGGGGAGTCTCCGGGCACCCACGGCACGTGTGAACGCAAGCAGAGGCCAGAGGAGCCGTGACACCCCCACACGGGCCTTGGGCCTGGCCACCCGCTGCCATCCCGCCCCCGCACCACCACCGGGCGCATCCACGCACTGCCGCGTCCGTGTGCCGGCTCCACGCTTCACGAGCGACCAGGAAACGCGAGCCCCAGCCCAAGGCAGACAGACCCCCAGCTCCACAGGGGAACCCCGAGAGAGGACCCTGTCTCAGCGCACCACCAGACAGGCCAAAAGCCATCCCAGAGAAACGGACACCGGGAGCCCAGGCCAGGCCTGGTGCGAGCAGGGACAGAGAGGGAACTGCAAGGAGCCGCCGTCGGCAGCCCCCGGGACTCGCGGCCGGCAGAGGGGCCGAGAGCCAGCCCTCGAGGAGCGGAGAGGCACCGCACCAGAAACGGCTTGGAAAACCAGGAAGGACAGGACGAGGGACACAGGAAGTTTGGGGGCTGCCAGGTCACACCAGGGCCCCACATCTCAGCCCCACACCCTCACCCAGACGGAAGCAGTGGCAGGGCCTCACCCTGCCCGGGGGCTCCCCCGTCTCTCATCACAGCCATGAGAGGACAGTGAGGACCAGAGACCCGCAGGCATGCCTGCCCTGAGGGGAAAGCGGGGCCCACAGGCCAGCATGGGCTCAGGGCAGAGGGCGGGGCTGGGAGAAGCACCCCAGACTGTGTGCGTGTGTGTGCGCGCGTGTGCGTGTGTGTGTGTGTGTCCCCGTGTCCACACACAGAGTGGGGCAGGGCTGGGAGGGGTCACCACCGCCACACCCAGGCCCACCTGCTCGACAGTGGCTCTGTCCGCCTTGTCTTTGATGCGGTACCTGCCAAGAACAAAGGAGCAGGGGGCGGTGACACACAGCCCAAGGGCAGGCACCCTGCACCCCACGGGGCCACCCCTGTGCATTCTCAGGCCCTCGGGACACTCCGGCCCTCGGGTCAGACCCCGCCCAGCTCACAGCTGCAGGGAGAGGAGGCGCAGAGAGAGCGGAGCCCGGCCCCTCCCTGCAATGTCCCCAGACCCCTCCCGCAGCATACACAGAAGGTGCACGGGGTCAGGCAGCCCGCTAGCTGGACGCGCGCAGAGGGAGGCGCTCCACAGCGCCAAACGCGGCCCGCCACAGCCGCGGGGGAGAGGAGCGGGAACAGGGCTCGCCGCCCTCCTTCAGGTCTCAACCCTCCCCACGTCGAGGCGTTTCAGGAGGGCGGCTGCTTCGCCATGAATAGTCTCACCCGACCCTTGGGAGTCCTCACTCCCAGAGCTCACGAGGCCCCATCTCGCTTACATATCTGCCTCCTTCTGCCGCGACTTCTCGGTGACCTTATTCATGACGGAGTCGGTGACGTGCAGCTTATCTGAAAACAGAAAATCCCCAATATAAAAACCACGTAAGACAGAGACGTGAGTGAATGGGCCCTTCAGAAGACGCGTGCCCGGCGGCCTGCTCCCTGTGCGGCTTGTCGGACAGACTGCGGCTGGCAACATGCTCTCCCTGGCTTTGGGCCAGCCCCTGGCAGTGGCCCCAGGTCTTCCAGGCCTGGCATTTCTGAGCCACCAAGACTCACTCCGGGGTCTGGGGCGGAGGCGCTGCAGCAGAGCCCTGGGGTCAGGGTCCGCTCCAGGAGCCCACCGGGCGGGCATGGGCCCCTCAGCTCCACCACGGCACTCACAGTCCAGTCCCAACCCTGCAGAGCCGAGCGGGACCCCCAGGCTCAGCCTCTCTGGGGGAGCAGAGAGACCCACGCACCACGCAGGCCTGGAGGAGCACCCCCAGGCCTCAGCCCCTCCAGGGGAGCAGGGAGACCCACGTGGGCCTGAAGAAGCTCCCTGCCTCCAGACACACTCACCTGCAGCCACTCTTCCGGACCCGGCCAATCCCACACAAGCACGATGCGGCCGGAAACCAGCTTCCTGGGACCCCCAGTCCCACACGCCCCCAGAGCTTTGACACCCACACCCCCAGCCTGAGTGAAACCTGAAGGGATCTGTGATTTCTGAGCAATTTCCAGACCGCACAACAGGAACGGGAACTTACAAACTCACCGAGGTTGATCTTATTCTCAAACTTCCGCAGGGCTTTGTCTGCCGGGGTGGACATCCTGGCTGAGCTGAGGCTGGCGGCCTGTCGGTTTGCCTGGAAGGAGCGAGTCCCGCTGCTGTGATGATACTCGTTGAAGCAAGGGCCGGGGACGGCGGGCAAGTCCCTCAGCCCAGCTTAGAGGGGAGCAGCAGCGCTCAGAGGGGACGCAGAAGGGCAAGATCGGCCAGACCTGCGTGGGAATGCTTCCTGGGTGGGGAGGGTCTCCTGCACACACAGGCCCAGGCTTTTGGCGCCAGGGGGTCTCCCTGCCCTGAGAAACCTGTTTGCTACTAAACAACATTACTTCAGCCACCGTGACCTGCATGCCATTAATGGACACACACAGCGTTTCAGCACCCTCACCGCCATCTCAGCCTGCCTCCCTCATCCTACCACGGGTGGGGCTGCCGTTACCTTTGGCATTTGTTACTTCCTCAGAAACCCAGATCAGGCCACACGTGGTCACATGGGCTGATCTGGAGAAAATCCCACCGACTGAGGTTAGAGGAAGAGGGGCAGACCCGAGACGATCTCACGCTCAGTGGGAGAGCAAGAGCTAGTGTCGTTTGGGGGGCCACATCAGGTGATGCTCGGGGCTCACTTCTACAGACCCAGAACTACCCCGAGTGATACTAGGGGCACCGTATGGGGGAGGGGCAGGGGGCGGGGATGGAACCAGGGTTGGCCAAGGGTGAGGCAAGTACCCTCCCCGCAGCGCCATGGCTCTGGCTTCTCCAGACCATTCCTGGGAAGGCTGGTGAAAGTGAGAGCGGTGGCCGGTACCCGGGATCTCCTCTCTGATTAGGACCAACCTACTAAGCGCCACTAGGACCTGTGTGTTTGGGGGCCACACCGGGAGGTGCTCAGGGGTCACTCCTGGCTTGGGGAACCGACTAGGGTGCACCCGGTGGGTGTATGCAAGGCGGCGCCCGCCCCGAAGTACCTCCCCGGCTCGCCTACAGCTGCTTTCCTGGCTAGATGGGCACTGCTCCATGGTCCCCGCAGGACCCTCACCCGGGCGGGCCAAGCTTCCCCGGACCCCGCAGGGCCCAGACCCGGCGCCCGCCCGCCGGCCACCAGCCGCTCATCCCAGCGCCGACAGCTTCCCAGGGCCCACGTCGCTACAAAGTGGCAAGTCGGGGATGCCGGGAAAGGAAAGTCCCAACCGCACGGCAGACCCACGTTGCTACAAAGTAGCGCGTCGGGGCAGTCTGGAAGGGGAAATCCCTACCGCAGGGCAGGCCCACGTCGCTACACAGTAGCACGTCGGGGCCGGAGGGGGCGGGAGAAGCCCCCGCAGGCCCGGCCCTACCTGGGGGGCGGCCCCCGCGAGCCTGCCCAGGCCGTCGTCCCAGTCCCAGTCCCAGGCGCCGTCGTCGTCCTCGTCCTCATCCTCCTCCTCCTCCTCCTCCTTCTCCTCCTCCTGCTCCTGCTCCTGCTCTCCGGCCCGCGGCTCGTCCCGGGCCCCGAGGGCCGCGCGCAGGATCCTCCGCTCGCTGCGGGAGAAGCAGCGGGGTGGGCGCCGCCCCGCGCCCCCCGCCGCCCCGCGCCCCGCGCCCCCCGCGGCCCCGCCCACCTGTCGGAGGAGTCCGCGTCGTCAAACTGCCCGGGGACCGTCCGGCTCATGAGCAGCCGCCGGTAGTCCATGGCGCCCCGGAAGCGCCGGAAACGGCCCGAGCTGGCCCCGCGCGGCCGGACCCCGCGACCCACGCCGCGCTCCACGCGCCTGGCGCGCCCGCGCCGGAAGTCCCGCCCGGCGAGGCACGACCCAACAGGAAGTCCCGCCCGCGAGGCACGACCAAGCCGGAAGTCCCGCCCCGCGAGGCCGGCCGCGCCGGAAGCGCCGCCTAGTGAGCCCGGCCGCGCGGAAACGGCGCTCCGCGAGGTCCGGCCGCGCCGGAAGTGCCGCCCCAAGAGGCCGGGCCGCGCCGGAAGTGCCGCCCCAAGAGGCCGGGCCGCGCCGGAAGCGCCGCCCGGCGGGGAGCGGGACGCGGACTCGCCTCCGCGTGGCGCTGCCCTGTGACGTCATACTGGCGCGCCTCGTGCGGGGCCCGGAAGCGCGGGGGCCCCGGCCCGGCGGTCGCTCGTGCGCCGGACGCCAGGGCAGCGGGCGCTTGCGAGGACGCCGCTCGCCGCCGGGGGACCCCGCGGGAGTCCCCGCCCGTCCCCGCGTGTCCCCGCAGAGCCGGGCGTGAGCACGTGGGGCGCCGCGTCCCCGCCCGGGAGCAGGTCGGGCCGCGCCCTCGAGGCGGCGTCTGGCTCCATGGCGGGGCCGGAGTCCCCGCGCGCCGAGTCGCCCTTCTCCGCGGACGCCAGCGCGGCCTCCGACCCGCCTCAGGTTCGCGCTCGGCGGCGGCGGCGGCGGCGCAGCCACGGGCAGGGCGAGCCCGGAGCCGGGAGGGCGGCGGCCCCGAGGGCGTCCGCTTTGGGTGTCCCCTCAGGTGCCCGCTTTAGGCGTCCCCTCAGGCTGGACCTTAAGGTGTCTCCTCAGGCATCCACTTTGGGTGTCCCCTCAGGCGCCCTCTTTGGGCGTCCCCTCAAGCCGCCCTCGGCCCTGTCACGCAGCCAAGCACCAAGCACGGTAGCGACGTCCCAAGAGCTTCCCGCACTGTCTCGACGTTTGCCGACAGTGAGAACCTGGGGCGATCGGGGAGGCGTCAGGTCGGGCCCCACAGTCGCCTTTTCGGTGGGAGCCGTAGGAGCACGACGCGGTTCCCCGCGCTCAGCCCTTGGTGCAGCTGAGGGTCCGAGGGACGGCCGGCGGGAGACTGAGCCTGCCGTCAGGAGGGACCAGGCACACGCGGCCTGAGCGCAGGCGTGCCCACACCGCCCTCCGGATGGGACTCGCAGCTTTCGGGGCTGGTGCTGGGTGTGTGCAGGGAAGCCCCCCCCCCCCCCCCATCTCTCGAGCTCCTTCTCCTCTCTCCCGCTTTCTCTCCCGCCTCCCCCTTCAAAAACCTCCCAATAAAATCTGTTTCCACTTCAAAAAAGGGAAGAAACACAGGGGGCTGGAGCGATAGCACAGTGGGGAGGGCATTTGCCTGGCACGCGGCTGACCCAGGTTCGATTCCCAGCATCCCATAGGGTTGAGCACCGCCAGGAGTAATTTCTGAGTGCAAAGCCAGGAGGAAGCCCTGTGCATCGCCAGGTGTGACCCAAAAAACAAAACAAACAAAAAACAAACACACAGGGAGCATCTGCAGAACTCAGTGGAGTAACCCAGCGCTGGAAAGAACCCCGACTCTTAAGAGGAATAGCTGCTTACGTCTTACACAGACGGAGCCTCAGACCCAAACCGGGATAATGCAGGCGGGCAGTTTACACAGGAGAACCAGCCCATTGCTTCTCACTAGTTTGGGGGCTTTGGGGTGGTTTTGTTTGACTTTTTAAAACAGTGTTGGAACTTCTATTTCTAAAATATTTCATTTGGAAGAAGTCTGGTCTGGGCAGAGTCTAAACGTCTCTGTACCCCCCTTGTAGGGTGATGCCAGACTTGGGTGGGGAGGGCCACCAGCTTGCATCGACAGCAGTTTAGACTGCACAGCAATCGTAGGCTGAGGGAACTGTCTTGTTAAACGGAGAATGACGTAGAACTTAGAACTCCACGTTCCAAGCGATCTGAAGTTCACTGAGTAGTGAGTGTTCCAAGAAGTTAGGTTAAATATGGTATCAGTGGATGTAAATAAGAGAGAAGAATTTTGTTTGGGCAGCTTCAAAGGCTGTCCCTGCTCTGTGCTTAGCAGTAACCCTTGGTCACTTGTGGGACCATATGCAGTGCTGGGGATTTGAATCCAGGTTTGTGGGACGCAAGTGCCTTAACCCTTGTAGTGTTTCTCCAGCCCCAAGAGATAGAATTTCCTAAAGCATTGTTGCATCTACCAAATGTATGATTTAACCAATGTTTCCCTCACTTAAAATATTTTCTTAGTTGCCTGTTATTAATTTACTTAATAAAACCTGTTGACTTGGATAACTTCATTTTTTTTTGGGTCACACCCAGCGATGCACAGGGGTTACTCCTGGCTCATGCACTCAGGAATTACTCCTGGCGGTGCTCGGGGAACCATATGGGATGCTGGGAATCGAACCTGGCTCGTCCGCGTGCAAGGCAAATGCCCTGCCCACTGTACTATTGCTCCAGCCCCAGTAACAGATAACTTTAGAGAACGTTACTGATTTCTGGTCTCTGGGTTTAGAGTCTTCTGCATCATGAAATCACTATATGTCATCTGTGTTCAGTTGAATTTCAGCTACTGTGATGTTAGCAGACATCTGAGAAGTGTCAGGAAGATGTCATTTACCCCTACGCAGTTTCATGATTTCACTGAAGTATCAAAACAACACGATACTCGTCTAGTGATTCAATCGTGTAACTCAACATGGTTTTACACGAAGCTTAGATTGGCAGCGGGGAAAGAAGCACGCAGAACATGTTTTATTCTGCTTCACAGGCAGTTCTGAGTTTTACTTCATCTCACTGGGGCTCAGATGATGATAAGCATTTTTTAACAATGAAATAGTTTTGGTGGGACCACACACACACACACATGCTCAGAGACTACTCCCCATATAGTGCTTTGCTCTGAAGACCATGTATGTTGGGGGGGCAAGCCCCAGGTTCCTACATACAAAGCATTTTCTTCAACCTGCTGGGCCGGGTTATTGCCCCAATAGTACAGTGTTCTCTTTTTTGTGTGTTTTGTTTGTTTGTTTTTTGGGTCACACCCAACAATGCTTAGGGGTTACTCCTGGCTCTGCACTCAGGAATTACATCTGGCAGTGCTTGGGGGACCACATGGGATGCTGGGAATTGCTTTCATGGCAAACACCCTATCCTCTGTACTATAGCTCCGCCCCCATAAAGTGTTTTTTTTTTCTTTTTGGGTCACACTCAACTATGGCACAGAGGTTCCTCCTGGCTCTGCACTCAGGAATCACCCCTGGCAGTGCTCAGGGGACCATATGGGATACTGGGAATCGAACCTGGGTCCGCCACGTGCAAGGCAAACGCCCTACCCACATGCTATTGCTCCAGCCCCCTCCATAAGGTGTTCTTAAAGGCAGCTGGTGCCCTGTGTTTCAGATGTGGTTCACGCCTGATAGTTGTTACGCCCAGGGAAACCGAAGCCCCCTTTATTGTGTCTGTGCTTTCCTGCCATGGTCTGGTCTAAAGCCACCTGAGCAGTGGCACGCTGCAGCTAGAAAGGCAGATCCAAGGCGTGCAGAACACTGACGGACACTTCACCAGCTGTCCACAGAGACCCGATGGTACTTGAGGTGTGGATACTGACATTCTCTTATTCATACAGAATGAAGTGAAAAGGAAAAACGAGAAGGAGTGTGAACTCTCACTGTCGGAAGAGATTTACAGCACACTGGACAACGTATTGGGCGGTGAGTATCCCTCGGTGGCTGAGATGCTCTGTGTGTCCTCTGATAGTAAGGGCAGTTGCCGGGCACCGTGCTCAGACGTCCGTGCACAGGCCTGTGGCCCGCGACTGGGTCTGCTACTCCAGGATGCTCCCTGGGCTGAGTGGGGGGGGTGGGGTGGGGGGGGGGGCTTGGGTCTTCTCAGCAGGCTCAGGCCCTCGAACTTGCGTGATGTGTGCTTGGCCCCACGGTCCACGCCCCAGCAATGAAATGTTCTGTTCTCGTTAACTCGGGACTGTTCTTCCTCCATTTCACAGATGAGAAACAACAGTGGCATTGGAAGTACATTCAAACAACAAACACATTTGACTACATAGAAATCTCTTCAGTCTTCCACATGAGCAGATTATAATTAACAGTTACACTCCCACCAGGCACGAGAGCTGGGCATAGGCCATGAACAGAGACTTGACTCCAGAAGAAGGGCTCCCAGCCTGTGGCCTATCCTGGAGAAGCCTCTCTTAGGACTCTTGTTTCCTTACTGCTGGTGTCTGGTGGACGCTCTAAGGTCAGGGTGACTTTTGTGCTTTGTCCCTTCTCAAGCTTCGCTTCTCTTTCCTCTTTAAGGAGTCTGTCTCTGACTTTGCTTCTTGCTTTTTGATGACTCCTGACTCTGTGCTCGGGGATCACACTTGGAGAGCTCAAGGGACTGGGGGGATTGATCCTGGGTCAGCTTGTGCAAGGCAGGCGCCTTCCCTGCTGCGCTGGCGTGTCCTGGTGGTGCTTGGTTGGCATCCTGGGGCCTCCTGGAGCAGGGCCCAAGTTCCTGCCGCAGACCAGGCCTTTCTCCGCTGTTGCCTTTCCCGTGAGGCAGTTTTCCCTTCCTGTTTCCTCTCCTTTGGGGGTTCCTGTGGTTCAGAGGTGGCTCTTTTTGTTATTGCCCATTAAAGAGTTTATGTTTCTTCATCAAAAAAGTTCTATTGCTTCTTTATTGTTTTGGTGGGAAGGGAAGGTCTTGGGGGCCACATCCAGTCCTACTCAGGGGCTACTCCCAGCTCTGTGCTCAGCGATCACTCCTGGTGGTAGTGGGGAACCATATGTGATGCTGAGGATGGACTGAGGGTCATCTGTGTTCCGGGCAGGCGCCTTCCCGCTGTGTTGTCACTCTGGCCCCCTTTATTGAGGGTCCCTCAGGTCGGCCCCTTCTCCATCATGGATGCCTTGACCCTGGTCCCTGAGGTCAGCCCCTTCTCCATCGGAGATGCCTTAGCCCTGGTCTCTCAGGTTCGGTTCATTTTTCAGCTTTTTCTGGGCTGGAGTGATAGCACAGCGGTAGGGCGTTCGCCTTACAAGCGGCCAACATGGCCGACCCGAGTTCGATTCCTCCACCCCTCTCGGAGAGCCCGGCAAGCTACCTGTGAGGTATTCGATATGCCAGACACAGTAACAACAAGTCTCATGATGGAGATGTTTCTGGGCCCACTCGAGCAATCAACGACGACGATCAACGGGAGGGCCTTTACCTTTACCTTCTGTTCCATTGCGGCTTCACCCTGCTACTGCTGTCTTTAGCGCCTTCATTTCAATTTGAATGGGTTCTTTGATTTTTAAATTTTTCTTTCTGTCAGTGTTCCTTCACAGGTACTCAAAGTCTCTCCCAGTGACTTCATCCATTTGGTGAGCACTGAGAGTTACTGTTCTGTCTCCTCCTTCAGGCAGCATTGAAAGTTCGGCTGTCTCAGACTTTGCTGGACTTCTGTCCCCGTCCTCTGATGGGGCTGAGTGGCTTCACTTGGCCACTGTGCCTGGTGCTTGGAGGGAGCTAAGGATGGTGCTCCAGGTTCCACCAGCACCGAGGGTGCCCACCTGGGCAGCGGTTGCTCCGGTGAGAGGCAGGCATGGCCATGACTTTGTTGATTTTATCCAGGACTCCTGTGTCCAGGGTCCAGATTGAGCTCTTGGTGCGGTGCCTGTGTGGTGTGGGCCGGACCTCCCCTCAGGAACGGTGCCTGCTCCCTCCTCTCTGTCTGCTTGGCAGGCGCTGGTGTGACCTGAGGCTCTGGAGGCCTTTTGTGTCCACTGCTCCTGCTGGGCCTGTTCTTTTCGTCTCCACCCACCCCTCAACTGTGCCCTTGGCCCCTGGTTCTGCTGCCGCAGTGCTGAAGCTCCCCAGGTGCTGGCTGCTGGCTCTGGGGATGTTCCTGCAGACCCCTGGGGTGCTGTGCCCGTGCAGTTTTCATGCACGGGGTGCATCTTGGTCAGTCTGCAGGATTCCTCACGAAACTCTTCCTTTTGGCCAGGTGGAGCCTGCAGGCTGTTTTAAGGAAGGAGAAAAAAATTCATGAAATTCTAAGAGCACAGATCCCATCCATAGAGGTTTTGAGGTTTGGAGGAAACCATGAGCCTGAATGTCGGTGCAGTTCTGAAATCACCACCTTCGTTGGGAACCTCGCTTGGAGCCTTCTAGAATCCCTTATTTGCAGAGTTGCGTTTGGGGAGCTTGTGATGAAAAGATCTGTGTGAAGACCCTTGTGGGGTCGGGAGCAAGGATTGTTGGTCCAGTCTGACTGTGAGGTTGAGACCTGCAGAGCCGACAGTGTGTCGCCAACAAGTTCAAGCCCGAATGTGGTACGATGGCACTGTGATGCAGGGTCCGAGCACATGTATCAGTTTCAGTAGAACGGATTATATTTTTTGCAGACTTGTGACAGTTTGTAATCCCCTACTTTGGAGACAAAACCCTTAGGACAGTGCTTATGAGAGTTGAGTGTCTGTCGTTCAAGTCTGTCATCGGTGCCCCGAAAATAAACACGACTGTTTTAAGAAGTGAACTGTAGCAGCTCGAGGTGGTGGCCCAAAGGTAGAATGTTTGTACTTTCTAGGTACCTCCAAACAGTGGACACTTACCAGAACATACACAGACATGGGGCAAGCGCTTCTCCACGCTCTGGCCAGAGAAACGGAGGCTTGAGAGGCAGCAGTGAATCCTGAGTGCATACAGTCATCGGCAGGGGAGCAGACACACTGGTGATGCCCTCTGACCCTCCTAGTGATGGCCTCTGGCTCTCCGATAGATACCATATCATGACTGTATACAGTTGGCCTGGATGCAGATGTGCCCTGTGATGACCTTGGCCCTCCTGTCAGTCATGTCATATTCTGGCTCTATGCTGTGGCCCAGGTGCGGTTTCCTCTGGCCAGGGCACATTTGAGCAAGAGAGTCTCTTTCATCCTGTAGCGCTCTATTCCTCACCTTTCTTCTGTGATTTTAGAATATGCCACTGTGAGGGGATCCATCCTCGTGAGACCTGGTGTAGGGCAGCTTTTCGGAGGAGCTTTCTGACCCACTGTCCATCTCTGGGGCCCCAGTCCCTCCTGGCCTCTCTGGATAATGGGGTGAAGAGAGCTCGGGTCTCCTGGAAATGTATGTTTCCCAGGATTCCGGTCACTGTGCTATTATGGGTTTTCAACCTTTTATAACTGCAACATCTTATCTCATTCTTACTTTGGACAACCTGGCAGGCTACCGACTGTAACCTGCCCACACAGCAGAGTCTGGCAAACACCCCGTGGCGTAACCAATATGCCAAATACCAGTAACAATGATGGGTCTCATTCTCCTAACCCTGAAAGTGCCTTGAATATGGCACTTTAAAATCTCAGCGCTAGGACGAAGGAGACGTTCCTGGGGCCTGCTTGAGGCAATCGACGAACAACAGGATGATCGTGATCGTGATAACTAAAAATGATGGTACATGGCTCACTCCTCGTGGTGCTATGGGGGCCTCATGGGGTGCTGGGGATTGAACCCAGTTTGGCTTTGTATGCTCCAGCCCTCCCAGTTTTTTAGAGGGTCCCCTATAATCCCCCCAAAAAAGGTAATGTGCGCAAAGGGCAAACGCCATGTGTGGGGTCCAGCACAGTGCTCTTCTCTGGAATCCACTGAAGAGGCCGATGTCCCTGGGTCCCAGCTCTGCGGCCACTGGAATAACCGTTTTGTGGTGCTTGCTAGCACAAAGGCAGGCCAGCCCCAAACCCTTGATACGGTTGAGATTCTTCTAATTCTTCCAAGCTCCCAAGACGGCCTTCTACACAGACAGAGTGGATGTGGACCCACAGTTCCTGTCTCTCTCTCCTCAGGCGTCCACATGGGACACGGCTCCCCGGAGGCAGGATCGCCGCCTGTGCACGCCTGCGCTTCTCCTGCCCGCCAGTACGGGCACCTGTGCAAGCTCCATCGTTCACGAGCCTTCCCCGAGGAGACGGCGACGTTCCGGCCTGTGGCCGACGACTCTCCCTACGGAGAAGGTCCCGGTCATGATGATGCCACAGGCCACTCTGGAGAGCACTGCTCCTCCAAGGAAGCCGGCCCAGAGCTGGGGAGCACTTGCGCCAGCGGGAACCTGCTCGCCCCGGCCTCTGTCTGGCAGCTGCCTCGAAACAGGCCTCGGGCCCACAGCTGTGGGGACTCGCTGGGGGCCGGCCCGCCCCCCGCCCAGCCTCGCAGCCGCCTGAGGAAGGCAAGTAGCCCGTGTGCTGAGCAGCCGTGCGGACAGAGTAGTTTTGCCCCGTGAGCACGCAGAAGGAGCATCCTAGGGAGGCGCCTTCCGCTGTGGAAGGTGTGTGTCTCTTCCATAGGACCTGACCTGAGCCCAGTCATCAGCACCAGGGCCTTGGGGGGAAAGCCTGGTCCGCTTAGTGGGAGGGAGAACGGCCTTTTTTTCAGAAACAGATTTTGTTCGTGAAACAAGCAGGTTAATTCCCGGGGATCCTGTCTCTGAGGTCAGAACTTCGTCCTTCTCTTTGTGCAGAATCCACACAGTGTGTGGAATGTGATGAGCTTTCCCTGTTGGGCGATGAGATTGGCCGGGACTCAGGGTCACAGCAGGAGAGGTTTGAGAAGAGAACAGAGCATGAGGTGCTCACTCTTCTCACAGGGAAGGCTGGAGAGGCAGGGCCGGCTCAGGGCAGAGACCCCATTGGGGTCCGGCATCGCGTGGCCCCCTGTGCCCCGCCGGGAGGGGCCCTGAGCACCATCAGCATGGCCCCAACAGAAACAGAAAGCTGCAGATGCTCCTGGTTTCTGTTTGCATCAGAAAACACTTATTTTTCCACCAAAGGGAAAGCATTGGTTTTGCTCTCAACTGGGGGATTCTGGATGCAGACATGTCCCTCAAGGTGCGGGGACGACACCCTATATGGTCCATTTTACCCGGAACAAAGAAATCCTGGGGGCCTGGGAGGATTAAGCGCCTGTGCCTCCCTTCCAGGGTCAGCAGGCGTCTGTGCGTCCTTCTGAAGGCCAGCAGGCATCTCTGGCGTTTGTCAGGGAGCAGCTGCCCGGAGTGTTCCCGGGCGCTGATTTCTGGAGAACAGCATGGGGACAGCCTTCCGGCTCCCTTGCTGCTCCCTCCCGTCGCTCTTGTCATCCATCCGGTGACCCTGTGGAGACCTCCCGCCCCTCCCACGTGTGCTGTGGTGGGGCTGGGCCGTGTCCCGCACGTGGGGGCCCTGGGTGCTGTCCCCAGCTCCGTGTGCTCAGGTGTTCCTCGGGCCTGTTCCTTCAGTACAGGTGGAGCTGAAGCTGTCGCTGAAGCGCCTGGGCTAGGTGGGCTGTCGCACCGCCCCCTCACGCTGCCCTTTGCTCCACAGGTCACTGATGCTTCCCAGGAAGTGCAGAATCCCCGAGCGAGTGCCGGGAGGGCGGCTGGGCACCCCCCAGAGGCCAGGGCCTGCGGCAGGGAGGAGTCCCCGGTCCCCAGCACCCAGTCTCCGGTGGCCACTTCCTGCAGCGGGGGCTGCTCCCGGCAGGAGGGCCCAGCCTCCGACTCGGAGGGCAGCGAGGAGAGCCTGCCGCGGGCCGAGGAGGGCCTGGCCCTGAACGAGGCCCTGCGGCGGCTGCGGCAGGCCAACCGGGAGCAGCACGCGGAGATCCAGAGCCTGCGGAGCAGCAAGGCGCACCTGGAGGAGAAGGTGAGGGGGCTGCAGGCCAGCGCGGCCAAGCAGCGCGTGCTCGTGGGCGCCATCGGGCAGCTGAAGGAGAACGTGGAGGCGCTGATCGAGGACAAGTACCGGGTGATGCTGGAGAAGAACGAGATGGACCACACCCTGCAGAACCTGCACCGGGTCCTGGCCGGCACCCAGAGGCACCTCCGGGAGTCCCTCGACGCCAAGGAGACGCTGCAGCTGGAGCTGAAGAAGGTCCAGGCCAGCTACGTCCACCTGCAGGAGAAGTACGTGGCGGAGGTGCAGCCGGGCGGGCCCCCGGGCCTGGACGCCAACAGGGGCCCAGCCGGCGGCCAGAGGGAGGAGGCGGAGGCCGAGCAGCTGCGGCAGCTCCGCGGGGAGCTGGCGCGGGCCGCGTCCTGCACGCAGCACCTGCTGCAGGATGAGAAGCGGGCGCGGGAGCAGGAGCTGCAGGCCCTGCAGGAGGCGCTGCGACAGCACCAGCGGGAGGACCTGGAGGAGCGGCAGAAGGTGCAGGCCCGGCTGGAGCGGCTGGGGGCCCAGCTACGGGGCCTGCGGGGCGCGCCCGGGCCGGAGACGCACGGCAGCAGGCTCCCGGAGCAGGAGCAGGTCGGCCTGGCGACGTTGCCGCTGCCCGTGGCCGGGGCCCAGAGCCCCCGACCTCAGTCCGCCAGCCCGAGCAAGCGGGCACAGGGGCCGCCGGAGGAGCCGGAGGCAGGTGGCACAAAGGCAGGGCCTAGATGGGCAAGGAGGCACGGAGGGGCTCCTGGGTCAGGGGTGGCCCGCGTGGAGGGACTTTCCCAGCACAGCCGGGCACGCCCACGGGAGTCGAAATAGAACACTCGTGTGTTGATTTGCGGAAGTGATGCACATACAGCAGTCGGGGAGGTGTTGGGATTTCCTGGGAGCCTGGTCCCTCGGGAGCTGCTGTTTCTCCCCTCCCAGTGGTTGGGGAAGGCTGGGGAATGTCCCCTGGGTGGGTGTGTCTGAGGATCCCCTGGAAGTTACCTTTGGGAAAGGAGTTTGTGTATCAGTGTATTGATTATTATTATGTTTTTGTTCCGGGGTCACATCCACTGTGCCCAGGGGTCACTCCTGAAGGGGTGCAGGGGGATTAAACCGGGGTCGGCCACATGCCAGGCAGGCCCTTTCCCCAGACTCTCTGGCCCTGAGCAAACGTTTGCATGTGCTCTTAGTTCTAATTCCAGCACAGTGATTGTGGACATGTAGAGCTCACATAAGAATACCTTGGGGGGGTCCTTGGGCATCTTTAGGAGAATAAAGGGGTCCTGGGGTGAAAGGTCAGGGAGCTTGTGTCTGTCCAGGTGACATGGCTATGGCAGTGCTGGTTCATGGCCTGAGTGGGCAGTCACCACCCCCAGCACCACTGCCGGCCCTTGGCCCCCTGCCCTCTTCTCAGACCCCACTACCCCGTTTCTGAGCCCTGCGTCTGCTCAGCAAGTCTCACCGGGCCTTTGTCTTCCCCAGAACGCCCTAGACTGTGCGCAGGACACAGAGCAGCCCACAGAAGTGCCCCTGGGCCCCTCTCCCGGGCAGGAGGGGAGCCCGGGGTCCCCCGACACCAGAAGGGCCTCACAGCTGGCCGCCAAGATCCACAGTGTCCTGGGCCTGATGGTGGACCTCCTGAGCTGCCAGGTAAGGGGGCTCCTGCCAGCCTGGCCCCCTCCTGAGGGATCCCTGGACTCAGACAAGGATGTGCCTCCACCCTCGCTGGGCTTCTTCCCAGACACAGCACGTGTGGGCCCTCGCTGCCCCTTGCCGTCCGCCTGATCCTGGGTGGGTTTTTCTGGGACTTGGGCCCTCACGCATGAGCCGCCTCCTGGGCCCCTGTGCAGGTGCCGCTCACTCCCATTGGATCCCCCATTGTCCTGACCCTTAGACACGAGGGCAAGTGGGCTCAGCAGGGGCGCGCTATGGCCTCCTGTCTCAGCACTGCGGCGTTTGCCTCTGCCCTTTGCCTCTGTGGGTCTGGGTGTGGAGTGTGTAGTCATGGGGGACGGGATTGGGGGTTCCTGCAGGACGCTGGGGATTGAACTCATGTTGGCAACCTGCAGGCTGGCGCCCTACCCACTGCACTCCCTTCCTGGCCCCTTTGCTGGCGCCTTCCATTTGGCTTCTCGGAATCCTTGCAGGGCCACAGCTCTCCGGATGCAGATGGTGCAGCTCGGCCCCAAGGCAGTGAGAGAGGGGGGCAGTCCATGATGCAAAAGCTGAAGCACTTGCAGCTGAAAAAGAGACATTTAGAGAAGGAGGTACTGAGATTCAGTACCTCTCTTCTACAAACAGCCGGGAAAAGTGCAGAAACCCTGGAACTGAAAGTGTTTCGGAGAACCGATCGGGGTGGGGCGGGGAAGGGCAGACTGCCTCACTCTGCCCCTCACTCGGAGCGTCTGCACAGGGTCAAGACACCTTGCAGGTGTTGACTCCCTTTCCATCCCTGTGACCACACACAGTTCCCTGAGCCCCTGAGTGTGGCCCACACTCCCGGCCCCCAAACAAACACTGTGAGATCCCTGGGGGCCGGCACACACTGTTTGCAGGAACCAGCTGCGTTTCTTCACAGCTGCTGAAACATAAACAGAGAATCATGATGTTCAGAAAGTCGATCGCTAACAGCAAAGCAGCTCAGCGGCAGGCTCAGGTGAGTTGGATGTTTGCCACGGGCCATTTTCCTTCTGAAAACGTTGTGGGGAGGGCGGAGAGCAGCTCAAAGGGCTGGAGCCCAGGCCTGGCTGCGGGGGCTGGGCAGGTCCCCAGAGCAGGCTGTGGCTGAAAAAACATCATTAAAATGGTGACGTTCCTGAGTACTGTCTTAAAGGTCTAAGAATAGAATTTTAGGGGCCAGAGAGTGAGCACAGTGGGCTGGGCCCTTGCCTTGTACACAGCCAGCTCAGCCTCAGTCCCTGGCTCCTCCTAGACCCCCCCACGCCCACCAGGAGCCATGACTAAGCCCTGAGCATCTCTGCGTGTGGCCCCCAAACACACACAGTTTTCAGATATCTCTCTTGGTAAATCTTGTTGAAATTTCCCTCCTGCTTTCGGTATTGCACCTGTTTTTCTTTTGTCTTTGTGGTGTGTTTTATCGTACCGACTGTTTCTGTTCTGTTCAGTCACAAATCACTAGTGATCAAAGTGTTCCGCCTCCAGTGTTGCGAGGCATGGGAAGGGATGGACGCAAGCACAGATGTCCTCAGTCCCAGGTGACAGACTTGGATTCCGCCGACACCGGAAGCGTCATCGAAGTACCGGTCTTGCTGGACACCAAGTTGGATGAGTACCACCTGCTGAACCAGGAGCTGGACTTGGTGGTGAGCAGCCCTGGGCCCCAACGGCTCCTGTCTCCCGAAGAGCCCCCTGAGCCCCTTCGAGGTGGCTGTCCCCCTTCCCTGTGGCTTCTAGCCCCACCTGGCCCTGCGGTTCACCCAGAGGTCTGAAACGAGCATTGCCCACCGATTTCTGTCTCCCAGAGTTTTGGCCTTTAAAATACACAAAAATTAGGGGCTGGAGAGATAGCACAGCGGGTAGGGCATTTGCCTTGCACGCAGCCGACCCGAGTTCGATTCCCAGCATCCCATATAGTCCCCTGAGCACCGCCAGGAGTAATTACTGAGTGCAAGAGCCAGGAGTAACCCCTGTGCATCGCCAGGTGTGACCTGAAGGTAAAGGTAAAGGCCCTCCCGTTGTTCGTCGATTTGCTCGAGCGGGCCCAGTAACGTCTCCATTGGAGACTTTGTTGTTACTGTGTCTGGCATATCGAATACGTCACGGGGAGCTTGCCAGGCTCTGCCGTGCGGGCGAGATACTCTCGGTAGCTTGCCGGGCTCTCCGAGAGGGGCGGAGGAATCGAACTCGGGTTGGCCATGTTGGCTGCGTGCAAGGCAAACGCCCTACCGCTGTGCTATCGCTCCTGAAAAGCAAAAAAAAAAAAAAAAAACCCAAAAAATTAGGGTTGGAGTGATAGCACAGTGGGGAGGGGACTTGCCTTGCACGTGGCTGGACTGGGTTCGATTACCGGCACCCCGTATGATTCCCTGGGCCCTGCCAGGAGTCATTCCTGAGTACAGAGCCACAGTGAGCCCTGAGCGCCAATGGGTGTGCCCCCCCCAAAACAAAAATAAATAAAATACAGAAAGTTGTTTCATATGCTGTTCTTCCTAGCGGGGGAAGCACATCTGTAGTTTGGGTGTGATGCCCCATTTCGAGAACAGTCCTTGTGACCTTCTGTCCTGCGGCTGTTGTGGGCCCAGGGCTTCCAAGTCCTCTGCCTCCGGGCTGCTGGGAGAGAGAGGCGGCTTTAGGGGACGCCTGAAGATTAAGGCGTCACCGCCAAGAGAAACGCAGTCCTGTGTGACATGGTGGCTGAGGAGTTACGGCACACAACGGGAATCACGTCAGCATCTTGCTGTTTCTCCGTAGGTCACAAAGTTGGGGAGTCTTCTGGAGTCCAAAGAAAACCATTGCCACAGACTCATCGAAGAAAACGACAAGTATCAGAGATATCTGGACAGCTTGATCGATAAGGTAACGGTCTGCGACACACGGTTCATGGTCCCTTATGGTCTGTGTGGGGTTTGGGCACTTTATGTGGTGGCAGTGGGGATGGGACCGGGGTCAGCCGTGTGCAGGGCGAGGGCCGTGACCCCCAGGGCTGTCTGCAGCCCCAGGGAACACATTTCCTGATGGAAACGTTCATCTTTCTAAAGCCATATGTCGGCGAGTGAGGAATCGTGGTGCCACGAAGGATGTGAGGCTGATGGGCCAGTTGTCACTGGGGCGTTTGTTCTTTTTTCTTTTCTTTTTTGACCTTTTGGGTCACAACCGGTCATGCTCAGGGCTGACTCCTGGTTCTGCACTCGGGAATCACTCCTGGGAGTGCTCCGGGGACCCAGTGGGATGCTGGGGATGGAAACCGGGTCGGCTGCATGTGAGACCAGCGCCCTCCCTGCTCTCCTGTAGTTCCGGCCCCCTCCTCGGCGCCTTTCACTGCCGAGGCTCTGACATGCCCACTCAGCGAGAGAGAGCGAGGCCTCTGGGTAATGGGCGGGGCATCTGTGCCCTCAGCAGCTCCCTCTGGGAGTGATCACAGACACTGCCCAGCCCGTGTTCTAATTGAGCGTTTCTTGGTCCGCACCTGCCTGCCTGCAGGCCTGTGCTCATAGCCACTGGGCTGGAGCAATGGTTGCCGGCCTGCGGCCCCCGTAGGTCCTCGGAGACTGCAGGGGCCCATGGGTCCGGTCTCCCCCTGGACTTGTGGTTTCCCTGCGTGGTCAGCGAGTCACCAATGGGAGTCCCTGACTCTGGGTCTCCGCGTGAGGACTGAACTGCTCTCACCGCAGACACCCGACTCACGGACCGCCTGGGTTCCCTTCCAGGTCACATCCTATGAGGAGATCATCGAGTGCGCGGACCACCGGCTCGCCGTCTCCTGCTCCCACATCACACAGTGAGTTACACGGTCCCGTCTCGGCCCTTTCCTTAGCTGCAGGACCGCCTTGCCCCATGTCTGCGTGCCCTCATTTCTCAGGTGCTCACTTCACTGTGGGGGCCAGAGGGTCCGGGGAAACATCTGACACCCGGAGCTCCAATGCATTGGCCTGCGGAGCAGAGCTGGGGACTCCCCTTCCAGTGAGTGACCTGGCACTGTCGGGCCAGTGCCGAGCATCGAGTGTCCTATCTGTTTCTGGCAAGTCTCTTCCTCTGTCCTGTCCCCGCAGTCCAGTTTACCATGCAGGTTATCATGCGGGCTTCAGCAAGGCCTCTGGGCTCACCCGAGACAGAGTCCCTGGAACAAGCATTTTCTGTCCTGCATTGAGCCCGCTGGGCCCAAGGAGGCAGAGTGGGCTTTGGACCGGAAGCCCACGTTTGCTTCTGGGAAGAACCGATGGTGACACCAGTGGCCTGGCCAGAACCTCCTTCCTCTGCCCGTGTGGGATGCGCCTCTGGGCGGCCCCTCGGGAGTCATTATGCCTGTCTGTGCCCCTGACGTGTAGCCGATCCCTGGCCCATGGGATCTGTGTCCCGTGTTCTCATCCATGTGGCCAGCAGGCATTCCCTCGTGACCCCGGTTCAGCTGCCGTGCACCAGCCACTGGGACGCTGTGGCGGGTGTCAGTCGTGGTGCGTGCTTGCCTGGTTGGGAAGGCACCCACGTGGGAGTGCCGGGCCGGGCGCCAGCTCGATTGTGCTGTAGGTGCTCGAGGAAGCCGCCGATTGTTTCCAGTGGGGACTGTGGCTGAGCCTGCTCAGTGCCCCACACCACATGCGCCCCAAGCACTGCTGAGTGGGCACCGTCCCGGAGCGACTTCCCACTGTGGTGGCCCCCGCGGAAGCCTTTGTGCCCATTTACATCCCGAGGGCCGGGGCATATTCAGAGGGGGGGAGGTGGTGGTGGTACAAACAGAGTCAGACTCCTTGCCCTTTGGATCCAGGCAGACAGCCAGGGCGTGGCATCACAGTCTCGTGAAAGAGCAACATGAGAATAAACCATATTTTTATGGGGTTGATGTTAATGTTCTTTACAAGAAGCGTGTGAGGAATCCTGGAAGGCCCTGCGTTTGACCCCCTTTCTTTGCCCCAGTCATCCTTTTTGTTGGTATGTTTGGGGGAACCATGTAGAGGTGCTCAGGGAGGGGCTCAGGGGTCTCACCCGGACCCAGCACACACGGCTTGGCTGCAGCCCCGAGTGCCCCAGCACCGCCCCAGCCATTCTTAAAGTTCACGTGTGCCCACACTCAGTGCTCGGACACCACTCCTGGCTCTGTGCTCCGGGGTCAGTCCTGGAAGTGCTCAGGAGACCGTGTCCGGTGCCAGGAGTGAAGTGGGACTGGCTGCACGCAAGGCCCCTGACCCCTGCACCATCCCTCCGGCACCTTAACATTCAGATTTTAAAAACATTCACATGACTGACTGAGATTGTACTGGAGAAGATCCCCGGCATCTGAGTTCCAGAAACTTCATTGAAAAAGCTGCTGATTGTGACCACGTATTCGGATTTCCTTGAATGCTTTTTAGGAGAGGCCTGAGGCCAGGGCCTCCCTCCCAGATAGACGGCTAGGGTGAGGCTCACGGGCATCTGGCTGTCTGGGGCCATCCAGGAGTCAGACCCGGCATCGGGGCGCCACGCTTCTCCTGGGCGCGACCTGTCACTGTCTCCCCCAGTGGTGTGGGTGTTCCCTGGGTGGTGAATCCACACGGACCCCATAGGAGGCTGGAGCTGCTGACGGGGCCTCAGTAGCTCCAAAAGGCCAGCAGCCGACCCGCTATGCTCTCTCCAGCCCCCAAAGAGCCGCACTGGAATAGTAAATAAGTTGAATGTTAATGCCAGAATGCAGGCAGGCCACAATGGAAGAGAATCCATTTGATTCTACTGCATCCCGGAACTTTCCCTGTTACTGTGCAAAGCTGACTTAGGCTACAACTCAACCGTTTCTCCCTCCAGTTTGGAAGAGAGGAACAGACATTTGGAGGACTTGATCCGGAGGCCCGGAGAGCGAGCAAGAAAACTCAGGTAAAGTGTCTCTTTCCCTGAGAAACCGTGTCCTGACTTCAAAGTGAGGGGCGGAGAGAGACGGAGTCGGCTCCACGGGGGAGCCTGATGCTCTGCCCACCACAGGACAGCTTGGGTGGGCCCTGAAGCGGAGGCCCCGGCCAGTCCTCGCGTCCTGGGCACTTCCTGCTCAGCTCTGCGGGCTCCGCCACTGCTGCTCTGTGCCCCGACTGGCTCAGCCTCACGTCCAGCTCGAGCCTCTGGGGGTCAGAGGCCTTGATGTCTGTCTGCCGCCCCCTTGGATTTCCCGGAGGGCTGCGCTGAAAGGGACAGCGGGAAGCCCCCCATGTCGGGAAGCTCAGCGGGGCGTTTCCTGTGGGGTGAGGGCGACTCGGGGCTGGTGTCGGGACAGGTGCTCGGCTCCGAGTCGCCCAGTGTGGAGCCTGTTTCTGGAATCGCTTTCCGAGAAGACACTGCGCATGGTCCTCCACCCATGGCGTTTGCTGCCCGGCTTGCCAGGCTGGCGCGGCTGTGCTGACCTCTGCGCCCGTTGCTGGGGCTTTCGGGGCAGCCCGTGGCCCGCCGCTGTGCCTCAGTCTTCGGCTTTCAGAGCCGCCTGGAGGCTTCTTCCCCGGCCAGAGGCGCCCACAGTGCCCAGGGACAGTGTGTGGCTGGATTTAACCGGACATCAGCCCCCACTGGAAAGCTCTAGCCTGACCCTTGCGGGTTCCGTCCTATCTTCAGTGACCGCTCCTGCTCGGGAGCAAGTGGACGCGGATCCGTTGGTGCATCCTTGGGCTGGAGCAGGCTCCACATGCGGGCAGCCAAATTCAGTTCTCTGAGCGTTGGCGCTCGCGTCCCTCTTAGCGTGGCCGGGTTCCTGCTCGCTCTCCCTCCTGAGAAACCAAGGACTGGTGTGCAGGTGCCAGGAGATAGGACAGCGGTTAAGGTGCATGCCTGGCAAGCAGCCAACCCGGGCTCAGTTCCTGGCACCATGCAGTCGCCGAGCACCACCGGGTGCAGCCCCGGAAGCCCCCACACTGCTGGATGTCCCAGGGATCCCAGCCCTACAGGCCCCAGCAGCCCGTCTGGCTGAGACCCCTAGGACCCTAGGATCAGGCGGGGTGCTGCGGGGACCCAGACCCCTGGGGCCCAGGCTCAGGCTGGGTGCTGCGGGGACCCAGACCCCCGGGGCTCAGGCTCGGGTGGGGTGCCATGGGGCCCCCTGGGGCCCAGGTTCAGGCTAGGTGCTGCGGGAACCCAGACTCCTGGGGCCCAGGCTCAGGCGGGGTGCTGTGGGGACCCCCGGGGCCCAGGCTCAGGCTGGTGCTGTGAGGACCCAGACCCCCGGGGCCCAGGCTCAGGCTAGGTGCTGCGGGGACAGGCGTGGCAGTGTTTGGATTTTCCTCTGCCGTTCCTGACGTCCCCTTCTTTTTCCCTTCTCTTTCCCACAGGCTGCGGGGGCTGGAGGCGCAGCCCCGGCTCGCGGGCAGGGCGGGCAGCAGGGATGGGCACTGCCAAGAGGGCCAGGTTCCGGTGTAACCCAGTGGCAACAACCCGGGCTCCTCAGTGCTGTCTGCCGTCGTCCGAATCCATGCGCAGCTGCTCTGGGGCTCTGGGGCGCTTCCGCCTTCGCGGCGGGAGACGGGCGGGCAGCTGCGGGCACCGCCGTGCGGCCACCCGAGAGACGCAGGGGTCGGGGTGCTGCAGGCGACCTGGGGGCGGGGCCGGGCGCAGACACGGGATGCCTGTGCTCCGCAGTCCCGGGCTGTGTCCAGGGAGACGCGGGGCATCCCGCGCGTGGCCACTCGGGAGCGGCCCCGTCGGGGGCAGCCGTGGCCGTGTCCAGCGGGCGGCTGGAGGGCGCGTGCAGCGTCGCGCCGCGTCCCTGGGCGCGCAAGGCTGGCGCGGGGGCGCCCTCAGGCGGCAGGGGCCACGCGCGGCCCTGCCGGGGCACCGCCTGGGGGTCCGCGGGCCCCTCCGCGCGGCCGCGACACGCCGGTCCCCCGCTGCAGCGCGACGCGGGGCCGGGAGGGCGGGGCGGCGGGCAGGCGCGAGGACGCTTCCGGGCCGCGGCCCCGCCCCCCGCCGCCGGCCCCGCCCCCCGCCGCGGGCCCGGATCTCGCGGGACTCGGGGCCGCCTAAGCCACGTCAGCGCCCGGGCCCGGCGTCGGGGGCGTGGCCGGCGTCGGGGCGTGGCCTCGGCTCTCCGGGGGCGTGGCCCGGGCCGGCGGGGCGGGGCCCGGGCCGGCGGGGGCGGGGCTCCGGCCGACGTGCTGCGTGGCCCGCCCCGCGTGGCCGGACGCCGCGTCACGCCATTCGGCCGGCGGCCCCGAGCACTCGCGGACGGGCGGACGGCGAGCGGCGCGCCATGAGGCTCCTCCCCCGGCTGCTGCTGCTGCTCCTGCTCGCCTTCCCCGGCGTCCTCGAGCCGCGGGGCCCGCCCGGAGGTGAGCGCGGCGGGGCCGGGGCCGGGGAGCGGGACGGGGCCGGGGTCGGGGCCGGGGCCGGGGCCGGGGCCGGGCAGCGGGCCCGGGCGCGCGGCGGCCGCGGCGGTTGCGCGGGGCGGCCACGTGCGGGCGCGGCGAGCGGCCGGGGCCGCGGGTGGGTGGTCGCGGCGCTGCCCGGCCGGCGGCCGCGGGGTCCCGCCTGGCGCCGCCACATCCGCGCTCGGCCCCGCTCCGCGCTCCTCCCCGCTCCTCCCCGCGCTCCTCCCTCGGGGACGCTCCGGGGCGCGCCCGCGCGCAGGTGCCGCCGCGGTGGCTGCGCCCCGTCCCCGCGCCCGCGGCCCCTTCCGTTCCGCGCGTGGGCGACCCCTCGGGGGCTCGGCCTTCCGGGTCGGGGTCTCGTCGCGGGCACGGGCGCGCTGACCGCCCCCCTGTCGATCAGGCTCCTTGGCGCTCGCCCAGGACCCGACGGAGGATGAGGACCCCGTGGAGGACTCCGTCATCGAGGAGGAGGACGAGGAGGCGGAGGTGGAGGAGGACGAGCCCACCGACCTGGTCAGTGCCCGCCGGGCCCCGCGGGACGGGCGCACCCGGGCCGGGCCGGGGAGGGCCCCGCGCTCCGGGTCTGGGCTGGGGCGCGGCCTGCGCCTGGCTGGCACCGGCCGCCCCGCCCTCGGGGTGGCGCTGGTGGCCCCAGAGCAGGCCGGACCTCGGGGCCTCAGCTGCCTGGGCGGGCACCGTCCCTCCGGGCCCCACCGCAGGGCTCCGTCTGGGCTCCCCTTCTAGCACCCGCCCTTCACGGCCCTGGCTGCACCCTGCATGGCACCGGGAGGGCCGTGGCCTCTGCCCCTGGAGCTGTCACCCTGCGGGGGTCCCGAGCCCGCTCCTGCCCCCCTTCCTGCCTGCGCCCGCCGAGGCTTGCTGATGGCCCGTGGCGTTGGTGTGACCGCGTGGCCGTCCAGTGGCAGCAGCTGCACGGCCTCCCTGGTCTCCCTGAGTCCTGTCCAGGACAGGCTCTGTCTCCCTGCCTAACCGGGGCTTGCAGGGGTGAGCCTGTCACGTGATCTGGGGGCGCGCCCGCTGGTCTCAGGCAGCAGCTGTGCTGAGGCTTCAGGGCACCAGCGGGCTTCGTGGGGCTTCTCCCCGCTGTGGGCAGGGCACTGTGCGCGTGAGTTCTTGACTACCTGCCTGGCTCCTGTGAGAAGCTCTGACCCGGCCGTGGACCGATCGAGTCGTGGGTGCTCATGGAGTTAGGGGCCGCCCCAGGCCACGTCCCCCAAGCAGCCCAGCCCTCGTGTTTGGGTTTGTACACACCCGGTCCTGTGCTTGGGAGTTGCTGTGGCTGGCACTTGGGCCACCCCTGTCCCTCCCTGCCATCAGCACCAGGCGAGCCTTCCAGCTCAGCCTCACGGTTCTGGGCCAGAACTGGCGGCAGGTGGGTGCTCAGGGGGCGGGAGACTCCGCCCCCGTGCCCATGTGCCCTGGGTTCCCCCCCACACACACACACTCCCGTGGCTTCCAGCACTCACAGCTGTTTCCAGGCGCTTGGAGGTGACCTAGATCCACTCTGTTGAGCCCTTGGACAAGCGCATGCATTGGATGAAATTCCGTTAAACTCCCTAAGACGATGAGCTCTGAAGAGACCGTCGCCCGTTGCTTCCGGGAGGGTCCCAGCGCCGTGTCAGACGTGGCGCCCCCGCCTCTCCCTCTCGGTAACCCTGCCAATGTCGGTCCTTCCAGGCAGAAGACAAAGAGGAAGAAGATGTGTCTGGGGAGCCAGAAGCTTCGCCAAGCGCAGACACGACCATCCTGTTTGTAAAAGGAGAAGGTGCGTGAGCTGCGCCTGGGGCACCCGGGGTCTTCCTCTGACCAGGGTCGCCGTTTTGTTCACATCCCAACTCTGCCCGGGGAGGTGGCGCCCAGAGTTCTGCCCGTGTGGCAGGAGAGGAGCCGCAGTCTGGGTCGGCGTTCCTGCGTGCTGGTGCCACGCCCGAGTCCCGATCAGGGCTTAGGAGGTAGAGGACGGGAAGATGAGCCCTCGGTCGGCCCAGGGGCAAGACGGAGGCTTGGGGTGGGTGGGAGCCTTCCAGGTCATGCGAGGAGGGACAGACGCGGTCCCGGGTCTGAGACGCCCGGCTCTGGGACACGGTCACCGGTCTTGGGCTTAGCTTGTGCCCACCCAACCCCCTTCCAGACGCGCCTCTGTCTCCAGGGAGCCCGGTGGGCGGGCGGGCCCTGCCTGGCACGCCTCCCGCTAGCCCCTGCCGCGCTCACCCCGTCTCTGCCCTCAGACTTCCCGGCCAACAACATCGTGAAGTTCCTGGTGGGCTTCACCAACAAGGGCACGGAGGACTTCGTCGTCGAGTCCCTGGACGCCTCCTTCCGCTACCCCCTGGACTACCAGTTCTACATCCAGAACTTCACGGCGCTGCCGCTGAGCACGGTGGTGCCGCCGCAGAGACAGGCCACCTTCGAGTACTCGTTCATCCCCGCCGAGCCCATGGGCGGCCGGCCCTTCGGGCTGGTCATCAACCTCAACTACAAGGACCTGAGCGTGAGCCTCAGCCCCTCCCCGAGACCCCCCTCTCCTGCTGTGGGGAGGGTCCACCCTGGGGCGTGCAGAGGTCGGGCCCGGAGGACTCACAGGCTGCTCCTGTATGACACAGGATCAGCTTTTGGGGGCTGGTGGTGGGGCCATGGCTTATGCAGGGCCTGCTCCCAGGCTAGGGACCGTCTCCTGGCCCTCATGGGACTGAGCTTCATCCGGCAGACAGACAGATAGGCATGCCAGTGAGCGGGAAGAGAGTGAGGCCCCATGGCCCGGTGCAGACTCACGTGGGCCCCGAGGCTTCTCTCCGGGGGTCCCGGGCCTGCTGCCCATCAGGCGCCCACACCCGCAGGGAGCGGGAGCATTGCCAGGCGGAGACCCTGTAGCGCGTTGCTCTTGGCTCGTTCTCACAGGGCAACGTCTTCCAAGATGCTGTCTTCAACCAGACGGTGACCATCATCGAGAGGGAGGACGGGCTGGATGGGGAGACGTGAGTAGCCCTGGTCTCGGGCGGGGGCAGCACCTCAGCTCAGGGCTGACTCCCGACTGCCCTTGGGGCTCGGGAGGCCTGTGGGGGGCCAGGATCGAGCGCCCTCCTGACCGGGCCGGGACCCGGCGGCTCCCCGAGGCACGTCTGGAAATGACGGCCGTCTTGGCCACCTGGATCCCTGCCTGGGGCGAGTCCCATCACCACTTGCCAGAGCAGAGCTTCGAAACAGCCTCTGGTCTTTGGGGGCACACCTGGCAGTGCCCAGAAATCATTCCTGGTGGTACTCGGGGGACCATATTGGGTGCTGGGGGTCAAGCCTGGCTTGGCCGTGTGCAGGCGAGCACCCCCTCCCCCATACGGTGGCATCGGCCTTCGGCACTCCAAGTTTCATCCTGAGAAGGGGGCTGGTGGGGTTTGTGTGTGAGTCACGACCTAGTTTGCCCTTTGTTTGCTTTGGGCCGTGCTTGGCAGTGCTCAGGGGCTACTCCTGACTCTGCTCTCAGGAATCAGTCCTGTGGCCGGGGCAGCGTATGGCATGCCGGAGGTTGAAGCTGTGTCCAAGGCGAATGCCCTCCCGCTGTCCTGTCCCTGGCCCCGGAGCTGTGTCTTACCAAACGCTTACCTGTAACTTGTCAGAAATGATCTTAAGTGCAGGAGTGCTGCTGTTTATTCGGCTGTTGATTGGCTGATTGAATTGGGCATGAGCTCCACCTTACTTCTTTTCCTTTTTCCTTTTTATAAATGTAATTTTTGAGTCACCGTGAGAGCAGTTGCAAAGCCTTCGGGTTTAGGTCTCGGTTATACAGTGGTGAGACACCCGTCCCTTCGCCAGTGCCCACTCAGAAATGTTCTTTAAGTAACGCAGATCGCGCTGAGAGACACAAACCCCAGCAGGCGCCTTAATGGGGTCAAGTGCAGCAGGCTCGTTCTCCTCGGTAGCCCGTGTGTCAGGGTCTTCCCTAATGGGCCCGTGGTTCTTGCAGACGAAGTAGATTTGTCGAAGTCGCTTCTGCTTCGAAGTGAATCGAACGCGTCTTACTCCACGTGGGGGCCTGGTGCTGGCGGGGCGCGTGCCGTGACCAGCGGTCGCGTTTGCTGTGAGTTGAGGCCAGTGTGTTCCCTCTGCAGGATCTTCATGTACATGTTCCTGGCTGGCCTCGGGCTCTTGGTGGTGGTCGGTCTGCATCAGCTCCTCGAATCTCGCAAGGTAACGGCTGAGGATGGCCCCATGCGTCCTGGCCGGCTCCGGGCTCCCCTCGCTGGCCGGTCTGTTCCCCCGTGCCTGGACCCGCTCGGGCCTGTGTCTCCCCTCGGGGAGGGTCTGCCTCCCCAGCTGAGCTCGAGTCCTTTGGCTCGAGCAGAATTTGGGCCTGGCAGGCCCGGGTGAGTCTTCACGGCCTCGTTCTTCGTGAGACACCGTGTCCTCATGAGCAGCAGCCAGGAGATCGGGGCAGCTGGCAGGCGACCTGCCTGTCCCCCATTGTCACGGGGAGGGCGTCGGTCCGGCATGCCGCTGGCCAGCCTGGGTTTGCTCCCCAGCTGCACGTAGATGGGTCCCCTAGGCCCTGTGTGTGCTGAGCACTGAGGCGGGAGTCAGCCGTGTCCCATGGGGCTGGCTTGAGTGGGGTCGAGTCATTTGCAGTGCTCTGCGGACCCCGTTCTGGGGAGCTCACGGGGGTCCTTGCTCTAGCCCCAGGGCAGGCGTGCTTCGAGGGGCACCTGCTGTCCCGTGGGGCGGGGGTGCAGAGGGGGCTCCTGGCCGGGCTTGGGAGCCCAGGGCCGCCGTGGCATCCTTGCACGCCCCGTCCCTGCAGCGCAAGAGACCCCCGCAGAAAGTGGAGATGGGCACGTCCAGCCAGAACGACGTGGACCTCAGCTGGATCCCCCAGGAGACGCTGAACCAGATGAGTGAGTGCGCGCGGGTCAGGCGGCTGCTCCCCAGCACCCGTGGGTGCGGATCTCCCTAATCTCTGTCTCTTCTCTCCTGCCGCTCCAGTGCAGAGTAGAAGAGGTGAGACGCGCCCTTGCACGCTGCGCTGCTGCCTGTGTGCGGGGGTGCACGCGCCCACGCGGGCGGGCCCCGTGCCCGAGCGCCGGCACAGCGGCCAGGGGTGGCGGGCCTGGCGGGTCTGCCCCGCCGATGCAGGGACAGGGCGGTCCCCGTGCTTGGTGCTCGTGGCTTCTCCAGGAGCGCCCTGGGCGGCCTGCGGTGGGGCTCCTCGGGGTCGTAGCATTTGTCAGGCGTTGGTGTGGGTCTCCCTGCGGGTCTCGTCCCGGCCCTTGCTTTCTGCCAACACTCCTTGGGAGGGTCCGGCTAGAGTCCTGGGCGGAGCCCCGGTCCCTGTCCTCGAGGGCTGTGCCGGGCCTTCCGTTACCTCCGTGCCCCCGGGTCCCGCCCTGCCAGCGAGTGGTTCCTTTGATTGAGGGGGGTCGCTGAGCAGCTGAGGGGCCTCCAGCAGGACACGGCTTCCCTGCGTGTGTGGGTGCATGGCAGTGCTTGGGGCGGCTTCCAGCCGTGCTCGGGGCGGGTCCGGGCAGGGACCAGGGTGTCTGCATGCCAGGCGAGAGCCCTAAGCCACGTCCAGCTCCCCGGACCCAGGGGTGCTGTTCAGCCTGTGGGATTGCTCCCCCGCTGGTGCCACCAGGCCGTGAACCCCTTCCCTTTCTCCGCAGATAAAGCTTCGCCCCGCAGGGTGCCCAGGAAGCGGGCCCAGAAGAGATCGGCGGGATCCGATGAGTAAATGTTGTCTGCCGTGACTCAGTGTGCCCACTGGGATGCACGCCAAGAGCCCGCCCGCCCGCCCGCCGTGTGTGGACTGCTCAGGCCTGCTGTCCGCTCTGGGCCCTAACACTGCTGACACGCACTCGGCCATTTTTCTAAAGTAACAAAATGTGGGTTTTTAGACCATTGAAATCTGTGTGTGTGCGTGTGCGCGCGTGTGTGTGTGTGTGTGTGTGTGTGTGTGTGTGGGAGGGAGAGGGAGAGAGAGTAGAGCCGTGTCTTCCCAGGATCACTCTTGAACTACCTGAAGCTCCCTTTCAGCCACCAAGTATGATGGCCGCCCCTGGACATGTCCCGCCACGGGCAGCCCCCCAGTGCTCTGCTGACTGGGCTCATGTCCACGGGGGACGGGGAGGGGGCTTCTGAAGGCTGGCAGCTGCTGCCGGGCCCCGTCTGCGGGGCCTGGGGCTTTCTCTAGCAACTCAATGTCAAACATGGAGATCTGCTGAATTTGGTGTATAACGCTGACTCCAGCTTGCTTTCTCTTTTTCGACAACAAAGGAATGGTGCATTTGTGGCAGCTGAGGACTGGGTGTCTGCCCTCGTCTGCGCTGTTTGTGCCCGAGGGGTGATCGCATTGTCGGGCCTGCCTTGTTGGGGTTTTGAAGGGATCATTTCAGTTCTAAAGAAGCATCTTGCTGAAGAGACGTGACTGGGTCTCCACACCCAGCCGCAGGCCAGCGTGAGGGCAGAACATGTTCCAGGAAAAGAAATGATTGGGTTTTAATGTTCTTTAATCTTTGGGATTTTGTTTGTTGATGTAATTTTTTAATTTAATCTGAAAAAAAAATCAAAATGTTAAGCACTTAAAATCTCGTGATTTTAAGGTCTCGGAACTAAACTGAAATTGGCGCTGGTCAGAGCCTTTCTCGGGAGTCACTCTGGTCCTGGGAGTGGCCTTGGTGCGTGCTCTGGCCGGACTGGCCCAAGGTGGGGTGACCGGGGGCAGCGAGAGCGCCTCCCTCTGAGCCACGTTCCCCACCGTGCCAGGAGTCACAGCGGCGGAAGGGCCAGGAGACGCTGACCGCATGGTCAGTTCCCACGTGGGCCAGGCCCAGCGTCGGGTCTCTGCCCTGGAGCGAGGCTGTGTCAGCCCTTGGCCTCGCTCCTCCTCGAAGCTGCCCTGCAGCCTCAGAGAAATTGCATAGGACCCTCTGCGCGCTCTCAGACCATGTCTGAAGCGTCTGTGCAGGGGTGGAGCCTGCCGTGCTTGGGCTTGCAGTGTGTGTGTGTGTGTGTGTGTGTGTGTGTGTGTGTGTGTGCGCGCGCACGCGCGCGCTTGCCTGGGAGTGTCTGCATGCAGGCGCGCGCGCGTGTGCGTGTGTGTGTGCGCGTGTGCTGCACGCGCACGCAGGCGTCTGTGTGTCTGGCGGCTTTGGGCCAGCTGTCTGCTTTGGCAGTGCCACCTGAGCCTTCCCAGGCAGTGAGTGGCAGGCGCTTCCCTGAGCTGGCTGGGAGCTGAGCCGGGGGCTGTTGGGGGGGTGCCCGTGCGGACACGCCCTGTGGAAAATGGAATATTCTATTCCACACATGGTTTGTTCAAGCACACCAAGTAGTAGATATTTTACGTTTTTCCAGCCTATTTGGGAGAAGTTTCTGCTTTGCCGTGCCAGCCATGGTACCCGAATTTCCCTGAGAGTGTCCTCAGAGTGTGCGCTTGGCCTTTGGGGGCGGGGGCAGGTCCCAAGGGAAGGGGTCGCTTTTCAGCAAGCTGCAGCAGAGGGACTTGGGGGCAAGAGATGTGCCCATGTGAGTGTCTCACCTGAGACGGTCTGGAATCACTGCGTTGTGGTGCCCAGTCAGCGCCCTTGAGTGTCAACTTGCAAAAGCATCTCAAAACTTCATGACTTTGGTTTACCCCCTTTGTCTCGAGATTTTTCCTTCCAAAATTAGAAGTTAGCTTAAGCTCAGAGGCGTTTCCAGATGCGCTTAAATGTGGTCTACCCGATTTGGACATTCGTAGCCATGAAGCCAATAAATATGTTTGCATTTTCAGTGCAGTTCCACTTTCCTTGGCTGGGATTCCCCAGCTCTGTGTGGCCGCTGGCCAGGCCGTGGGCAGAGGGCAGGGCCATGGGCCTGGCCAGCTCCTGGTGTCTGCCCCTCCCCACCCTGCAGAAGTGCTCCACCCCCGGTTCTGCTTTGGGGGTAGAAGCTGCCCCTCCCTCAGGCTGTTTGTGGGAGACGCGGGTGTCAGGTTGGCCACGCCGGGCTGGCTGGGTTGGGGGCTCCATCCTCCCTGCACAGCTGCCAGCAGGCCTCAGGCTGCTCCTGGCTGGGCGCACCCCCGGGCAGGGGCTGCAGCTTGTGCTGGTGCCGTCCAGCTTCCCGCAACACGCTGCTCCAGTTGTCCCTGACCGCAAGGCCCACGTGGATGCGTAGCAGGGCCTGGAGAGTGAGGGTGGACGGTGCAGAGCCCCCGAATTCCTCCTCCCCACCTCCCCAACTAGTGGTCCTGATGGTGTGAAGTTGGGGGCCACCGCTCAATTCCTGGCACCCTGGGAGGTGGGAGAATGAGACCCTCCAGGGGCTGTGCCTTCACCCCCCCCCCACCTGCCCCGGACAGCAGCAGGGGCGCAGTCCAGGAGAAGGCACAGGCCAAAAGGGCGCATGTTGCGCTCAGCTCGTGTTGGGCCATGCTCCCTGGGGACGTGGGGAAGGGGCGCACACAGTAGGGCCACCACGCTTCTGGCCACCCTGCAGCACCAGCAGCCGCTCCCAGGGAAAAGGCCATGAGGGTGGCTGGATGCAAGGACCCCCTCTCCCACCCCCAGGGACTGTTGTAGGACCACGGGGAAGGTTCCAGAAGAGTGGCTGCGTTCCTTGAGGCACAGGTCACAGCACACGATGATCAAGGCCTGTGGCTGCGAGTCTGCTGGTTTGGGAAACTGCCAGACTCCCCCAGACGGGAGACAGAGCAGGCCCTAGCGTGCCCCTCCCACTGGCCCCGGCTGCCCTCCGCTGCTCGTGGGTGGCACTGCAGCCTGCGCCCACCACCACCCTGCGCTGGCCTTGGCTGCCCTCTGCTGCTCGTGGGTGGTACTGCAGCCTGCGCCCAATACCACCCTGCTCTGACCTCTGCTGCCCCTGGGCGGTACTGCAACCTGTGCCCACAACCGCCCTGCTCTGGTCTTGGCTGCCCTCTGCTGCCCATGGGCGGTACTGCAGCCTGCGCCCACCACCACCTTGCACAGTGAATTCAGCTGCCCTCTGCTGCTCATGAGTGATACTGCAACCAGGGTCCCCCTCACTGCACTGCACAACGAACTCTACTGCCCTCTGCTGCTTAGGGGCAGTACTGCAGTGGCTGCCCACTCCCAGGGGTGACCACAGAGGGCTGGAGCAGAGAATCTGTTGGAGGCCGGTGCTGGCCAGAGCTCTCTAGTTATGTTCGTGATTCCCTGAGAGACTGCAAGGGCAACCCCCGAAGCACAAGCTCAGCTCACTCCCCACCCCCAGGCCCTCAGGGATGCCTTCAAGCCTCCAAAGGCCACCCAACGCCTTAATGCTGCTGCTCGCTGTCTGGCAACGCAGTCATTCTAGATCCTTCCCCTTCCTCCAGGCTCTGCTGTATCTTCAGGTCTGTGTGTCCCTTTGTTTCAGGCACAGGAGGAGGGCGCTGCGGTGCTGATGGTGTCACCAGACCTGAGACCCGACCCAAGAGGCAGCATCTCCTGCCCACCACCGGGCACCCACAGCCCCTCTGCTGCTTGCTTCCTCCACAGGGCTGGAGTGGGTGGTGTGGGGCCCTGACACACGCTGTGGGGTAGCAGGCTGCAATAAACAGAACAACCCTAACGTGGCTGGCTCGGGGCGGGGGGGGGGGGGGGCTGGGCCATGTCCTCGCCAGGGTGCACGCACCCCTAGGGCACGGTGTTTACAGCTGTGGTTGTCCAGGGCTGGAGAGGAGCTAAGTAGTATGCAGCAGACTCTGGGGGCCTGTGGCCCCGTGGCCCCAGCTTCTCAGGACAGGCAGTTGCACAGGCAGAGCCCAAGGTGAGGCTGGTCTGCTGTGCCCACCTCAAGATCGGCGCCTGATGAGGTGAGGGCCAAGTTCAGGGATAGGCCTGGGCCTGGTGGAGCTGGTTTCGCTGTCCCTGCTCCAGTGGCCTCAGTCCTGCATCTGGACCTCCAGTGACCTCACCGCTGTCCCTGGCACACTGCAGCCTGGATGGGTTCACAGGGCCATGAGGGTGGCCTGGGAAAGGCGGGTTCCTAGAGGGGCTGGTCACACTTCCGGGATCAGCACCAGTACCCTGGGCTGAGGTCAGGGAAGGACTTGGTGACCTCTGCTGACCTTGCTAGAAGCAGAGGGGAAATCTGCGGGAGAACTCCAAAAGCACCCGCTGGCGGGGGTGGGGGTACGACCCCTCACATGCACCCACAAACCCGTTAGGGTCCTGCCTGGGAGGCAGGCGAGCCTCATGCGTCCAGTTTGGGGGACCTCACCCAGGCCCAACATGAAGACCCCTGCAGAGTGGGGCTCTGCCTTTGGGCCCACTTAGGTGTCTGGGGGTCTCGGTAAGGCAGAGGACCCTGCAGCCCACAGCTCCCCGTATCAGGTGGGCCCAAGGGGTGGGGAGCCCCAATGCCAAACTCGAGACTCCATGTTCCGGGGTCTCCCTTGGCCCCGACCCCCCCTAGCTGGACACAGCCCACGCCCCCAGCAGGCCCAAAGCGGAGGGTGCTCACTTTCAAAATAGAACATTTATTGCTTTGATGTTTGATACAGAACAGCAGCCTCTAGCCGCGCACCGGAAGCTGTGGACGGAGGCGGAGCCAGTACCGGTCCGCGCGTCCCTGTGCGTGCGACGCCCCCTGGCGGGCACAGGCCTAACAGCAGCGGCGGGTGCCCGTGGGAGCAGGCCCAAGTCCTCGTCTGCTCCTGCTCCAGCCCCCTGCGGAGGGACACGGACGCACGGCCCCGCCTGCTGCTTGCGGGTTTGGTGCTGTGGTACAGCCAGGAGCATCATGTAGTGATCGAGTCCCAGCACGGTCCATAGATCAAGGGGAAAACCAAGGAGAAAACTTGCACCTCAAAACCTTTTCAGAAGATCCACATATATATATATATATAATTTTTTTTTCGTAAAAGCCCTGAGAGGAGGAGAAAGAAATCAAACAAAATGTATAGAAACAAATTAGCTGGACATGCAAACTATGCTTTGATTCACCCAGAGTTGAAACAATCACAAATTTCACAGTTTCATATGGAGGTGGGGGTGGGGGGGGGCGAGTAAAGCTTTCGATCAACAGTGAGGTTCCTGCTACGGCTCGTCAGCGGGGCAGGCTCTGCCCCGACCCCCTCGGGCACGAGCATTAGTGTGGAGAGATGCAGAGAGGAAGAGGACAGGAGAAACCCCAAGTAATAGTAATGCAGAGAACAACAATCATCGCACGTGGGAGCAGGGGCTGGCGGGGAACTTGATTCGTGTTGCCTCGGGTCAAGGACAGAAGTGGGCTCCGCCACACCCAGGCGGCCCAAACCCCCCTTCCCGCCAAGCCAGACCCCTGGGCTCCCCTGCCCTCAGGCCTGGCACCAGTGAGGGGAGAAGGGGGGGGGCCCGGAGGGGCCCTGGGGCTCAGCTACAGTGGGGTCTGGGACCCGCTCCACGCTGGGGCGAGCACAGCGGCCACGTCCGCCCCCGCAGGCGTCCCCAGTCAGCAGCACGGCGAGTGCCGGTAAGATGGGAAGGCCCGGCCCGGCCGCTCCTGGGCGGCTGGAAGGAAGGCTTGTCTGAATACAGTAGGAGACCCCAGCCAGGGCGCCGGGGGGGGGGGGGGGGGGGGGGGGGGCAGGGGGGGACGGAGCTCAGGGAACATGGGGACCTGGGTCTTAGGGACAAATATTGCCCATTTGTTTCTGCCAACTGCAGAGCCCACCAGGAGGGGCCCCACAGTAATAATAATAATAATATTAATAATACATAGACCGAGGGCAGCAAGGCCCCGGGGAGCCAGGCCAGGTGCCTGCTGGGGTGAGGGTGGTCAGGACACTGAGGTGACAAGCACCTCTGGTTTTGGCTGGAACCAGTGGGCCCCTTCTCGCACCCACGCCGGGTCTGGGGCCCAGGCAGGGTGCAGCCGCACCAGCCAGAAGGCGTCTGGGGCCCGCGGGCGCAGCGACAGATTCACATCATCATCTTCCAGTTACGGGCAGCGGCGGCCCTGTTCCAGCCCACAGAACAGTCGCCCCCGCGGCAGGACAGCGGGGACCGGACACCGGGCGGCTGCGGTAATGCTGAAGTGGGCGGGGTCTCTTGCGGGATCCGAGACCGGCGGCAGCTCAGTCCAGGGGCGCTGCGGCCCGGCAGGCACAGCGAGAAGGCACCGTGTGGTGGCCACAGGTTTCCCTCCCGGGCAGGGAGGCCGGCGGTGGCCATGGGCAGGGGTCACTCCAGCCCCGGGGGAGGCGAGTCGTCGGGCGGAGGGCCGGGCCGCTTGCCCCTCGGCTCCTGCGGCTCCAGTGCTGGGGCTGGGCTCTCGGGCTGGGGCTCGGCCGCCTCCGCCTGCCCGCTGCCTGCGGTCCGGCCTGCCCCGTCCTCCTGGGGGCCGAGGGCCTCACTCTCCGACGGGGGGTGTGTGCCGCTGTGGGTGGACTCGCTCCCGCTGTCCTCCCCGGCCGCCTCCTCGCGGTCGCTGTCCTTGCCCAGAGGCCGGGCGTGCCGGGCCTTCTGGTGCACGCGCTGGTGCCGCACGAGGCTGTGCTTCAGGGTGAAGGTGCGGGCGCACGTCTGGCACTTGTAGGGCCGCTCTCCTGCGGGCAGAGGGACGGGTCACCTGGGCCACCACACGGCCCGGACTGGCCCAAGCGGAGGCGGGAGTGCGGGGCGGGGAGGGGCCCCTGCACACGCGTGTGCTGCCAGAGCCGCGACCTCGGGCACCAGCACTGTCCGCAACTCTGTCCACGTACGCATGAGCACACTCACGTGCAGGGGCGAGCATGTGTGTGCACACACTGCAGGCGTGCACACCCGTCGCTGGCACTGCGCGTGTGGCCCGCTGGGACCCCCGGGAAGGGCTGCGCCTCCCGCCGCCCCGCGGCCCGCCTACCTGTGTGGGAGCGCATGTGCCGGGTGAGGTCCTGCAGGGACCAGAAGCGCTTGCTGCACACGCTGCACACCTTCTTCCTCTTGTCCGCCTTGCTGCCCGCCAGGCCGGCCCCCGCGGCCGCCCCGCCCCCGCCGCCTCGCTCGGCCAGCCGCTCGGCCTCCCCGTCGGAGGCGACCTCCCCCTCCTCGCTCTGCTTCTCGGCGGGGGCCTCCGGGGCCTCTGCCGACAGCTCCCTGGGCTCCGGGGCGGCCGCAGGGGAGCCCTCCTGGGGCCCCCCTGCGCCCTGGGCCTCGTCCTGGCCTTCCCCGTGCTCGTGGGCCTTGCGGTGACGGCTCAGGGTCCCCAGGAACTTGAAGGTCTTCCCGCACACGCCGCAGGCCTGTTTCTGCTCGGGCTGGCTCGTGCCCAGCTTGAAGCCCATCAGCGTGCTGGCCAGGTTCAGGTCCAGGCTCTTGTTGCTGACCGTGTCCGACTCGGGGCCGTCCACGTCCTTGCCCTCGGCTCCACACCCGTCTCCGGGTCCTGGGCTCTCCACCGTGGCTTCGTCCTCCCCATCCTCCTCCTCCTCTTCCTCCTCCTCCTCCTCGGCCTCCTCCTCGTCCTCCTCGGCGGGGCGTCCCCCGGCCTCTCGGCTGGGCAGCAGCTCCTTCTCCTTGGAAGTGAGGTCCAGTACCAGGCCTCCCGTGGCGGCTGCTGTCTCGACATCCGACTGGCTGTCTGCGGGGACAAGCACGGCCGGGCTCAGTGCCCCCTCTCCTGCCGCGGCCCCCCAGCCGGCCCACCCAGCCCAGAGTGGACAGCCAGAGGCAGGAGTCCCACAGCCTGGGGTGGGGGGGAGCAAGGCCAACCCCACCCTTGGGGAGATCAGGTCTGGGCCGTCAAAGACATGGGAGAGGGAGGGGAGGGGAGCCGAGCCCCCCAGACTCGGGCGAGGAGGCGAGCTCCAAGGGCGTGCCGACACCCGCCCGATGACCAGTCAAGGGGCCCCCAACACCCCACAGCAACCCCAGGGCACCGACAGCCAGATGTGGGCACTAACGTGAGCCCCAGGTGTCCCTGCGTGACAAGTGTCCCCTCTCCCACAGCCACAGCCTACCCATAGCCCCCTGGCGACAGTCCTGTGGCTATGGTACGACAGGCCAGAGGTGCGGTTGCAGGACCCCCCACGGGACGAGGTCGAGCCTGCAGCTCCTCAGGGTCGAGAAGCCAGGGCAGGGGTCTGCAGGAACTGTGAAGGCTGAGCCGGGTAAACCCCAGGGCTGGGTGTGCCCTAAGGGTGGGTGTAGCCCAGGTTTGGGTGTGCCCTCAAAGCGGGTGTCTCCCAGGGCCGGGTGTACCCTCAGAGCTGGGGGTACCTTCCAGGCCAGGTATACCCAAGGTCAGTGTACCCCCAGAGCTGGTTGTAGCCACAGGTCGTGGTGGGGGCGGGGGAGTGACCAGAACAGCACCTCCTGTGGATGTTTGGAGGCCTTAGGATAGTCAGTGGACAGCAAGCGCAGGCCCCCCACAAGTATTTCCAGAAAGGACCCAGGGGTAAGGAAAGTGAGTCCGAGCCCCTGACCCCAGTCCCCACGCCGGTGCCAGACTCCAAGGACACGCAGATGCTCATACACGGAGGCTCGGCTGAGCATGATCAGGGCGGGCACACCTGGTGCCGCCTGTTCCAGCAACTCTGCTGGTCACTAAGTCACACCAGGATGCTTGCTGAGCACACACGGCCGAGTTCTGAGTGACTATGAGGGTCCGAGAGAAGACTGAGCACGCACGGCCGATTTCTGAGTAACTGTGAGGGTCCGAGAGAAGCCTGAACGCGCACAACCAAGTTCTGAGCAACTGTGAGGGTCCGAGAGAGCCCTAAGGATGCAGGGCCGCGTTCTGAGCAACTGTGAGGGTCCGAGAGAAGCATGAGCATGCACGGCCACGCTCTGAGTAACTGAGGGTCCAAGAGAAGCCTGAAAGCGCACAACTGAGATCTGAGTAGCTGTCAGGGTCCGAGAGAAGCCTGAGCATGCACGGCCGAGTTCTGAGTAACTGTGAGGGTCCGAGAGAAGCCTGAGCACACACAACTGAGATCTGAGTTAACTGTGAGAGTCCGCGAGAAGCCTGAGAACACACTCACGGGGCGTGCACATGCGACCCCCACCCTCAGCTCCCCTGGGCCCGGCTGCCCCCACTGGGCTCTGGCTCTGGGACAGGAAGCTGGGGACCGGCCCCTCCGCGTGGACACCGGCATCCCAGGCCCTCACCCCCTGCTGCCCTGGGGCACGGGGTCTCTCAGGAGGCGCCTCTGCCCACTGGAAGTGGCCCCAACACGTAGGCTGGGGTGTGGCTCCTTGGGGACACCCCCACTCCTGGGAGATGGGGGGTCACCAGACCACGATGCTCCTATTCACGCAGAGGCTTGCAGGAGCTGCAGCTCCACACCCTCAGCACCCCGCGGCCTTCTGCGCTCACCCCGGCCCCGGAGGGACCCTCCCAGAGGAACCTTCCCTGCCACGCACCGAGCCGGACCCTTTCCCCACGCCCCTCCAGGCAGGGAGGAGGGCCACAGGGAGCGCCGACGGGGGGCCTGTGAGACAGACCCCAGGCCTTCTGTCCCACTTCTGTTCCTGGGGCAGGACTGGGGGTGGCTTCTGGAGGGTTCTGTGGGTACAAGCCCAGGGGCCAAGTCTCAGCCCCTCAGCCAAGGCTCCAGGGAACCCACCTCGGGGGCAATTCCGGGGTGCCGTCATCTTACCGGACCAGGGCCGCTCGGGGGGTGCGGTGGGGGGTCAATTCTACTTCCCGGAACTGAGCCCTCCCCCGACGAGCAACTGGGACCCCCAACAACAGAGCCCACCCCTCTGCCCCAAGCCTGGAGGGAAGCGGGCGATCCGGGAGCGTCCTCGGCTCCGCACGGGCGCAAGTGAGCAGCGCGCCTGGCGGGGCCGGGCCGGCAGGACGTGCGGGCGGGGACGCGGCGCGAGAGGGGCCGCTCCTGCAGCCCCCGGCCGGGGCGCTACCTGTGCTATCAGGGCCCGCGCCCTCGCGCTCGGCACGCCGCGCCAGGAGCCCGTTCCTCCGCGGGGAGCAGGCGCCGAGTCCGTGTCTGCGCAGCTGGTGCCGCTCGCAGTTAGACTTGGTGGAAAAGAAGGCGTCGCAAGTCTGACAGGGGAAGGGTTTCTGACCTGCAGAGAGAAGACACCGTGACCGCCCGCCCACTCGCTCCAGCAGGGCCAGGAGGCAGGCGAGGACCAGCAGCGCCAGGGCCGAGAGCGGAAGAGGCGTCCGCCCTGGAAGCGCGAGTTCGGAACAGAAGCAAAGGCGCTCCAGGAGCCAAGCTACAGGGCACACGCGCACACGCGCACACAGCCTTCGTACACACGCACTTACAGCCCTCACGCACACCCACTTATGACCTCACACACATGCACGCACACACAGCACTCACACACAGGTGTGCCCTTGGTCCTCATACTCACATGCGCGCACACAGCCCTCACACTGCACACCCGCGCTTAGAGCCCTCGTACACGCACATGCACTTGGAAGCCTCATACACGCGCACACGCACTTACAGCCCTCAAACACACACGCACAATCTCTCACGCACACGCACACACGCAGCCCTCATGCTGACATGCACACCCGCACTTCGAGCCCTCGTACACACACATGCACTTATAAGCCCCATATTCACACGCACCTACAGCCCTCATACACTCACACGCGTGCACTTATAGCCCTCACCGTACACACATACACACAACCCTCATACACATGCGCACACATGCCCTCACACACATACACATGCATGTACACACACAGCCCTCACGCCCACACGTGCGCGTGCACACACACACACACACACACACACACACACACACACACACACACCCCTTCCCCCCACGGCACTCATGAGTGTGCAGCACTCATCACAGAGCAGGAGGCCCGTGCAGAGTAATGCAGGGGAAGGAGGGGCGGGTCGCCGTGGGTGTGTCTGCCCTGGCAGACCGGGCTCAGGACCCACAGGGGTCCCAGGCTCCCAGCCCTCCCTGGAGTGCGAGCGACAGGAGCGACTCAACGGCTGGGTGCACATGCTCCCCGCACCGGGCGCAGGGAAGGGCCCCCTCCCCTCCGGGCAGCCTCTGCCTCCCCCGTTCTCGCCCCTCCCCAGGCCAGCACCACCCAGCAGGCTCCGGGGACACGGAGTGGGGCCAGGACTAGATGGAACTTAGCGCCCCAGACACCCCCCACAGACCTGCAACGCCCCAAACCAGACGTATCTCACTGCCACACATGACTCACCCCACCCTTCACATGCACGCGGCCGACATGCATGCACACCCCACACCCACACAACACGGCAAACAAACAAGAGCACAACCCCCAGGTGCACACACCTACACCCTCACCACTCGCACCGTGCGTGGATCAGCACGCACCCGCACGTGCACACACCCAGCACTGCCCTATCAGCCCCTGCCACTCAGGGACGTGGGTGTCCTCGACACGCCCCCACAGGCACACGCGTCCACACGCACACCCGCGTGCACCCACCCCGCAGCCTCACTGTCCCTGCAGGTGGTCTGGAGCCTGGCAGGGGGACCAATCCTCATGGGCACCTCCTCTGCCCCAGCAAGTGTGAGTGTTGCTGCCCCAACCCCCCCGGGAGACTGCTGCCATCCCTGCCAGGGACAGAGCCCGGGTGGGCTCCAGGACTGCCACGGAAGCCAAGGAGGGGGCTCGGAAGGGCCTCAGGCGCCCCGCTGGGACCCACGCCAATCCCAGGCGCAGTTCCCCCGGGACACCGGACCTGCCATACGTTGGGGGCGGGGAGCAAGGGGGGACGGGGTCGCCCCGGCCGGCAGGTCAGAAGACGGCACATGACTGGATGTCCGCAGCTACAAGCCCACTCGAGAGACGGATGCCGGACACGGTCAGTGCCTCAGACACCCGCTGTGCGGGGACGGCAGAGGCCAGCAGCAGGGACGGCCCTCCTGCTTGCTCATGGCACACAGCTCTTGGCCACCCCTGCGGCCACAGGCACAAAGGCCGGACACTGCGTGCAGGAGGCCCTTGGGGAAGAGCAGGACCAAAGCCAGTGCCCCCATGGCCAAGCGCGGAGCAGAGGGGTGGGTGACCCCGAGTCTGAGCCCCCGCACCACACTTGGGGATGGTGCACGGGTCGGCCAAGTGGGGTGGACACTGCTGGGAGGAGCCATCGTGAGACCAACGAGACGCCAAGGTGGACGGCAGGGGACAGCACCACGGTCACATCGGCTCCCACGTGGAGGGGGAATCAGGACTGGGTGCTCTGGTCTTTCTCCCCTCGTGGGCGCCCCAGACCCACAGGGGCTGAACCTGCCACCAATGCCAGCTTCCTCCTGGAGGCCCCCTTGGACCCAAGTCCCCGAGAGCAGCTGTCACGAGACGCACTGTCAGGCACCCGCAGGGGGCGGCACGGCCTCAGACAACGAGGACGACCCTCCCGCTCAGGGGTCTGCACCCTCACGTGCTCCTGACACTGTGGGGTGGGCGGGGGTGGGGTGGGCCACAGACCAGGGCGGAAGTCACCCAGCAGGCTTGCAAGGTCCCCATGGACAGAAGTGACCTGTCCCCACCCCTCTGTAGACTTCCAAGGTCCCCATGGACAGGCGGTGACCTGTGTCCCCCCATCCCCTCACAGGGTCCCCATGGACAGGAGGTGACCTGTGCCCCCCGTCGCCCCACAGACTCCCAGGTGTCCTATCACCGCATCAGGGCGCACCCTCGAGCAGGGCCAGACTCTGCGCCCCCCATGGGGGAGGCCCCGCCCGCCCGCCCCCAAGCAAGACAGAGCTGCCCACTCCTCCCCCTGCCTCGTGGGCACTCCCCGGCCCCCTCTCCACGCCCCCCACTTTGCCACGCAGGCACCAGGTGAAGGAGGGGGCACAGTGGCAGAGCATGAGTGAGTTGCCTCCCTGCAGGCCCACAGGGTCCCCAAGGGCAGGAGGTGACCCCCGGGGTCTCCCAAGGATGGGAGGTGAGGATCCGCACTGAGCGTGTCCTCAAGTCCTGCTCCCCAACATCCAGCCTGGGATGCCCAGCCTCCCCTCCCCGACCCCAGGCTGAGCCCCAGGCTCCTCCTATCACCCTCCTGTCTAGGCACGGCTCTAACGGCCCTGGGCCAGCACCTCCTGGGGCCGCTGAAGGGGGCTGCACGTGCTGAACAGGATGCTGCTTCCTGGCTCAGGTGGGGTGCAGTGGGTGCGTGGAAACACTGGGCCACTCGAACACTCCGGAAGGCGGAGGCCGAGACGGGACACAGGAAGAGTGGGGACAGAGACGTGGCCTTAGGGGCTGGGGCAGCGCAACAGCCACAAAGACGTGGACACCACGTGGCTTCTGGCCACCACGGAGGGTCCACAATGGCTCCAGCTGCGCGGCTCTGCCCGTTCTCCACTCGGCCTGAGGAAACTGCCTCGAGGGCGACTGTTAGGTGACCCGCCTCGCTGGGGCACTGGAGATAGGGGCATCGTCTGCGAGAGCCGGTCCCCTGGGGAGGGGCAGAGGGCCCAGGAGGCTCCAGTGTGGGGTCCTGAGGACTTGGGGCTCCACCCTGTGCAGGAAGCCCTCCCCGCCGCACCCCTGCGCCGGAAGCACGTCAGCCTGCCCGGGGCGCGCGACGGCGAGTGGGCAGTGGCACAGACGCTCCGTCCCCCCGACTCCGCTTACCCGTGTGCGTGAGCAGGTGCCGCTGCAGGGAGCTGGCCCACGGGAAGACGCGTGGGCAGTGGGGGCAGGAGAGCCGCTGGGGGCCGCCGGGAGCCGGGGCGGGCCGTGCTTGCTGGGCCGTGTCGTCCGGCGGGCCCAGCTGCTCCTCGCCGCCAGCGTCCGGCGGGGGCCCGTCCTGCGCACTCTGCAGGAACGGGGTGAAGCGGTGGCTGTCCGTGGTGGCCAGCATCTTCTCCACGCTGGCGAACTCGCCGCTCGAGTCCAGGTCCAGGCCCCCGCTGGGCGCCCGGGGCCGGCTCCGCAGCGCCCGCTTCCGGCCCCTCTTCTTGGACGCGCCCGTGGACCCCAGGTCAGGGGGCGAGGTGGGCTCCGGGCTGTTGGCAACGGGGGGGCGCGGGGGGCGGGTCGCTGCACTCGGCCGGGCTGGAGCTGCTGGCCGGGACAGTGGCAGCCTTGGGGACGCCCGAGCTGTCTGCGGGAGCGAGTCCGGGCCCCGGATCGGTCACCTTGGCTCTCAGCAAGGTGGGGGCCGAGGACACGGACGAGATGATCTGGGCGATGGAGGCCAGCGGGGGCAGCTCCTCGGACGCAGGCGGCTTCGGCAGGAGCAAGGGGGGCTTGGGGCGCAGGGGCCGCAGGAAGGCCGGGCCGCCGAGCAGGCCGGGGCCGCTGACCAGCGTGGACGGGTAGATGGGCACCGCCAGGCGGACGGGGCCCTGCAGGGCCTGCGTGGGGCCAGAGTCCGGGGCGGAGGCTGCGGAGGGCCCCCCGGGGGGCTGGGGCTTCTCCGGGACCCCACCGGGCGCGGGTGCGGCTGGAGGCTCTGCGCTGTCTGCTTCCTGCGCGGGCTTCTTGCCTTCGGCGGGGACGGGGGCCTCCGTGTCGCCCCTGCGGAAGCCCTTGGGGACAGACAAGTCGATGGGCTCCAGGGAGCAGTCGTAGGCTGCGGCGCCCGCGCCCAGGAAGCCGCCCGGGCTCTCCTGCTTGACCTGCACCAGCGCCAGGCCCTTCTGCGAGAAGTCCAGGGGCTCACTCAGGTGCACGGGGAAGCCGCCAGCCGGCTCCAGCTTGACGGTCACGTGCGGCAGCGGCGCAGCGCCCGCGGTGGCGTGCAGGAAGCCGTTGTGCGGCTCCAGGAAGGCGGCGGGGGTGGGGCCGGGGCCGTCGGCGGCTGCGGCGAGCACGCAGGCGTCGATGTCGCTCTCGGGCACGTGCAGGTGCTGCTTCAGCACGTGGTGCACGCAGTGGCGGCGCGCCGTGAAGGCGGCGCGGCACTCGCGGCACTCGAAGGGCTTGCGCGGGCGCGCGCAGTGGGTGCGCATGTGCACGCGCAGCGCGCGGTGGTGCTGCAGGTCCTGGCCGCAGAGGCGGCAGACGGTGTCGGGCGCGCAGAAGGCATCCACCAGCTCGGCGGCGCTGCTGGTCACGTACTCGATGTTCTTCTCGATGTCCTTGCGCGTGGCCTTGAGGTGCTTCTTGCGCAGGTGCCGCTCGCAGTTGGCCTTGACGGTGAAGGGGTACTGGCAGATGCGGCAGATGTAGGGCCGCTCGCCGCTGTGCGTGCGCAGGTGGCGGATGAGCGCCGCCTTGTCGGCCGCGATGTAGTCGCAGATGTTGCACTGGTACGGGGAGATGCCCAGGTGGGAGCGCACGTGGGCGCGCAGCACGCCCGAGAAGGCGAACACCTGGTTGCAGAAGCGGCACGGGTACAGCACCTTGCGCACGGCCGGCGCCTTCCTGCCCGGCCCGGCCATGACGGCCTTCAGCTCGGCCTCCGTGACCTCCTGCTTGATCTTGGCCTCCACGCCCAGGGGCAGCAGCGCCTCCAGCAGGCCGTCCTGCTCCAGCCGGGCCTGCACGTCCGCCGGGCCGGGCAGCTCCGAGCGGGGGGCCGGCAGGAAGAGGGGGGCGGTGGGAGCCCCCGACTTGGACTGCAGCAAGTGGGCCTGCGAGGCGGCCTCCACGGCGCCCCGGAGCAGCGTGAGGGGCGGCGGGGGCAGGCTGGGGCTGGTGCAGCCGGGGGATGTCTGCTGGGCGCTGACCAGCGGGGGCGGCGTGGAGGCGGCCACCACCGTGCGAGGCGCGACCAGGGGCTTTGGCTTCAGCGGGGGCATGTGCTTGAAGATGGTCTGCAGCGGCGCGGCCGGCGCCTTGGACAGTGGCGGGAGCCCGAGGTGCGGGGGTGCCGCGGCGGCCATCTGCAGGATCTGCTGGATGTCGGCCAGCTCCACGGCCGACTCGCTAGACACCGGCTTCACCACGAGACCACTCTCGGGCTGCAGCAGGAAGCCCTTCTGGAAGGGCAGCACGGCCAGCGGGCCCCCGAGCGCGGCGGCCGAGAGCCCCAGCACGGCGGGGCAGCTAGGCTCGGGGGGCAGCGGGCCGCGCAGCGCCTGCTGCTGGATGGCCTGGTTGTCGTCGGGCGGCGCCTCCTCGGCCGGCGCGGGCCCCGCCTCCCGGGTGTGCTGCAGGCCCAGCAGCGCCAGGAAGAGCTTCTGGTCACGGGCGTCGGTGGGCGGGCTGCGGGCCGGGGCGGGCGCGGCGTGGGTCTGCGCATGCAGGGCAAGGGCCGCGGGCATGGGGAAGGCCTTGTCGCAGGTGTCGCACACGCAGCGGTGCTGCTCGCTGATGCAGCGGCGGAGGTTGGTCTCGCACCAGGCCTGTGGGAGGGCGGGCGGGCGGTTAGAGGGCACTGGCTTGGGCTGACCGCCGGGCACCCGCGCACTCCGCAGGTATGGTCAGGCGGAACTGAATGAACACGGGCAGCCCGGGCGTCTCACAGAGCAGGGAACGCGGGGGCCGCACCCAAAGCGGAACCGGAACTGGGTCCTGGGTGGTGCTGCTTGGCAGGGGAGGGCCGGGGTCTCGTTCCCAGGTAGGCGGGGACCATGGGGACTGAGGGGGATGGGGGCCCCATTCCCGGGGAGGCGAGGACCACGGGGGACAGGTGGGGACCGTGCAGCGCAGACCTGGGAGATGCGCGGGAACTTGCGGCAGGAGAAGTCGGTGAAGCCCAGGTCGTGGAAGCCGGCAGGGATGGCCGGGTTGTTCTGGATGAACGGGCGCCCGGCAGCGTCGCGCGGCAGCTGCTTGTGCACCAGAGCGTTGTGGCGCAGCAGCCCGCGGTGCGTGCGGAACGTCACGCAGCAGACGTCGCACCTGGCGGGGAGAGTCGGCGTGAGGGCCCGTCTGCCGCCCCCGCAGGGCCCACCCGAGGGCCAGAGGTCAGGGTTGGTGCCCCCGGGCGCCTCTCCAGGGCCGCGCCCCAAGTTTCTGCCCAGCGTGGAGAGAGTCACACCTGTGTCTGCAGCTGCCCCCGCTGGACCTTCGTGGCTTCCCCGTCAGCCACGGAGAGAAGCCGGCCCCGCGGGTGTGCGGCCAGAGCGTGCCGGCCCACGGGCAGGGCTGGCCTGGGCAGTCTCGAGGGCCATCTGGTGGGCCTCGTCCACTCCTGGGAGCTGGGGCAGTGCTGCGCCCCTACCTGAGCGGGTTCTCTGCGTGCGCCTCCACGTGGCTCTCCAGGCTGTACTTGCACACAAACTCCCTGAAGCATATGGGGCAGCGAAGAAGCTCGTCCCCCGCCTTTTCCAGGTCCCCCGAGCCGTCATCCAACATCTGCGAAGGACAGTGGCCACTCAGCAAGAGGTGTCAGCCAGAACCGGGGGCAGCCACAGCACCGCCCTGCACTGCCAAGTCCCTCCGTCCACCCCCCGTCCCCTGGGCCCGCCTCTCCACCCACCTACCCACCCACACCCCACCCCTGCAGCCTTCCACTCACCCACCCGCCCAGTCACACACGCCCACCGCCTGCTCCCCCACAACCTGTCCACCACCCACCCACACACGTCCACCCAGCCCCCGCCTGCCCACTCAAGGCCGACGGGCAACAAGAGCGTGGACGGCAGGCAGGGCCCCTCTCCCATCTGGAAGAAGACGTGAGCACGGTGACCCTGCAGGCTGGTGAGGCCGTGCAGGGGTCGACACAGACCCTCGGGGCCGGCCTGCGCGAACACAGAAGCGGCTGGTGCCGGGCACCCACCTTCTTGGCGGACACCAGATCTTCCTTCTCGGACTCGGCATCATGGCTCAGCTTCCTCTTGGAGGATAGTCGTCTGCGCTTCAGGGGGGATGGGGGGGCCGATGCCGTGGCGCCAGTGGGGTCCTTCTCGTGGATCTTCATGTGCCTGCGGAGCACACGCACACAGGCGGGTGAGCAGAGCCCGGAGGGACAGTGCGCCCGACGGCTGCGGGGCGGGAGTCACAGGACTTTCTCTGACACCTACGGGCCCCACGGCCGAGCAGACGCAGCCCCGGCCAGCCACTCAGCGACCAGGCAGACAGACGAGCTGCCGTGGGAGCCCCGCCCGCCCGCACATCCCCGCTCCTGCCTTCCCAGGCCATGTTGGGGGTGGGGGGGCAAACACGGCTAGGGCCCAGGCCCCGTGGAGAGTCACAGCCCCCCCAGGGCCGCACCCAAGGCTCAGTGTGCATCGCTCCAGTCTTTCCAGGAGCAAACCTCGCCCTCACAGGGAAGAACGCCATCACAAAGCGCCGGTTCCCAAAACCAGAGCCACAGGTCACCAGGGAGGGTGCTGGCTTTGCATGTGGCCATTCTGGGTTCCATCGCCAGCACCCCACACAGTCCCCCGAGCACCACCAACGTAATTCCTGAGCGCAGAGCCAGGAGAAAGCCCTGGGCATTGCTGGGTGAGCCCATCCCCTCAAAAGTGATGGTTCCCATCCCAGCTCTACGCCCCGCTGACAGCCCCCGAGCCATGCCGGGTTCAAAGAGGCACATGCAGATGGTGTGAGCCTGTCGCAGGACGGACACCTCCCCGGGCCACACAGAAAACTCCCTGAACCGAGGCTGCCCACTCTTGGCACAGCCCACGTCTAGCAACAAAAACGGTGGAGCACGTGTCCAGCGGGGGCTGCAAACTGGCACCAACACGCCCCAGCAAGTGCCTCAGAGTGAAGGTCCTGCCGCCCTCTAAGGCAGCAGTGTGGAGGGGCCTGGGCCTCACTTCCTGGGATGGTCACAGGGGCAGGGCCCCATCTCTCTCACAGGGCAGCATGAGGCCCCCACCCTTAGCCCCCAGTCCCAAGCAGGCATGCCTGTGGCCAGGGCTGTCAGGCCAATGAGGGGCCCCCGCCCAGAGCACGCGGCAGAGAGCAACCCTCACCGCCCTGAGGTACACGGGCCCCTCCAGCACTGCTACTCGACTCTAGGGCCCATCCTGATGTCAAGGGCCAGGGACCGCCTGCCCCCTCCCCAGACCTCTCATCCCATCCCCCCTGGTGAGCTGTGACCCTTGAGTGAGCCCTGGGGCAGACCCTGCAGCTGTCCACTGGGAACCCCTTCATTTCATGCACATCCTTGGGCATGACCCCAAGGAGCACACTCAGCACCACCCACATGCCACAGAAGGGGGCCACTGAGCCAACTGTCCCCCTGACCCGCAGGCTTGGTGTGTAACCACCCAGCCGTCCTCCCCCTCTTGGTTGTTCTATGCTCCCCGGAAGACCAGCGGAGTAGGCACCTGCCGTGTGTGCATGTGCGCTCACACGCACACACAGACACACACACACACACACCCGCCAGATACACATGCGATGCAGAGGGAAGCTGGACATGGTGCCCGTCTGCGCTCCCCCGCGGTAACCCAACCCATGGGGAGGGACCACGGCCTCCCCACTGGGCTCTCCGGACTCGTGGCTGCACGGGCAGCTGGGGCCGCTTTCCTGTCCACCGCAGGGCACTGCTGCCCACAGCCTGGAGTGGCCGGGAAGGACGGGGCTCGATCTCATCGGATGGGAACCTATGCAGGGCCTCCGGCAGAGTGGTCCCCGCCTGGACATCTGGTGCGTGGGGCCAGGGGCCACAGCAGCTGGGCCCCTCCTTCCACAGGTCAGGGAGGGTCCTGGGGGCGGGCGTCGGGCACGTGCCCATATGTGCCCGTGCGTGAGCATGTGCGCTCCGCACGCATCGGCGCTCGCACAGACGGTGAGTGGGCTCGGTTGGCAGCAGCTCGCTCTGGCTTGTCGGGTGCAAACAGGTTGGACGGGTTGTGCCCAGACAAAGGGGGAGAAAGGCGGGTGTGCAGGGGCCTGGGGCCCACGTCTGCGCCCCGGTCCACGGTCTTCCCACCGGCCGGACAGGAGAGGATGGCCCTGGGCGGCCACAGGGCCCGCCCCGCCCTGCCCTACTTTCAGCGCCTCACCAGGCGGCTCAAGTGCGAGTGCGGGCAAGCGCCCGCACCTTCCCCTCAGGACAGAGAGAAGCGCCACGGGAACCGGCGGCTCCAGGATGCAGGCGGCCGGAAGCACAGCCAGGGGCCACGGCAGGGTGGCCCGAGAAGCGCGCGTGAGCAACGGGGCAGAGCCGAGCGTGGGGTCCAGGGCCGGGGCACGCGTGGCCCCGCGGCCCTGGCCCCTCTGACATGCCACCTGCAGGGCACAGGGCCTCCCCCACGTGACTCGACCCTCCAGAAGCCCCCAAACACCGGGGGGCCACTGGCCAGCACTGCGCAGAGCGGACAAGACTGACGCCAGCACCTCACGCCCCTCCACTGTGCCTGCCCAAGCCTGACGTGGGCCATACACATGCACACAAACATACCAAGACAGGGCGGTACTCGGGGCTCACGGCCCGGCACGCGCCCGACCCGGTCTGACTCCCGAGGCCACACGGCCCCCGAGCATGGTCAGCACAGCCTTGGAGGTTCCCAACAGTGGCCGAGTCCCAGCAACACATTCCTGGGCCCTTGTGCTGACCCAGTGGCCCGGTCATCAGTGGCCCTCCTCACCCCGAATCACCCACGATCCTCATCCCTCCGGCAGGTCAGACTCAAACCCTGAACAGAACCAACATGCAGAAACCTTATACTCGCACCGAAGACACCTGCAGGGGGCCTCGGCGAGGAAAGTCAGGTGTTTCCCACACCACATCCGCAGCTGCGGAGCCTGGAGGAGCCCGCCACGTGCAGGGGTCAGAGGTGGGATGGGGTGGGATGTGTGCCGAGCTCTGGACATGCTCTCCCCAGAGTCGTCGTGCGGACACGGGTTCCGGCGTGCCTCTGTCAGAGCAGCGGCCCCCAAGGCCTCAAAGACGCCCTCGCTTCTGGGGATTCAGACTGAGAGACCCACCCCCTGGCCACGGTCACGGCCACTCAAACATACCAAGAACCACAGCGCAAACGCTGGACTGCACAGCGGTCCAGGCCCCGCCCAGGGCCAGCACAGGGGTCCCCGCCTGCCGCCCCCCCAGCCGGGGCCTGCCCACCTGTGCATGTTGCCGTTGGTGGTGAAGGACTGGCCGCACACGGTGCACTTGTAGGGCCGCTCGCCCGAGTGCACCAGCATGTGGCGGTCCAGGGAGCTGGCGGAGCTGAGCGACTTGCCGCAGATGCTGCAGGAGTGGTCGGCCCCACCCGTGTCCGTGTTGTGCTGTGGGGAACAAGGGGCCGTGTCAGGGCTCTGTGCCATCGAGCCTCAGGGGCGACGTGCCCGGACCCCGCCGTGCCATGGGGAACCGAGTCAGTGCTCCTACTCCAGGTGAGACTCCTGGAGGGGGGCAGGGAGCACTGTTTGTGGAGTGCTGAATCGGGGGATGCGGAAGCCTCTGCTGGAGGTGGCGTCCAGCAGACACGTTTCCTTCCAAAGCCTGTCGAGTCATGCCCAAGGAGGAGTTGCGGGCCAGGCTAGGGGTCAGCAGGGCAAGGCAAGAAAAAGGCCAGTGTCCACCTCAGGCAGGACACTGTCCCGGAGACCCCACACATACATGCAGATACTTACGAGCCATGTACACACATGCACACACTCACACCTAGGGGGGATAGACACATACCTGGAGAACGTGCACGGTGAGTGGGGTGCTGCATACATACACACAGGTACACACACATGCACACACCTGGAGAATGTGCACGGCGAGCTGGCGCTGCACACACACACACACACACACACACACACACACACGGGTACACACATACATATAGGTACCCACCCGCACACACCTGAAGAATGTGCACGGTGAGCTGGTGCTGCATACACACAGGTACACACACACAAACAGGTACCCACAAAGGTACACACGGAGAACGTGCACAGTGAGCTGGTACTGCACCCACACAGGTACCCACACATGCACACACCTGGAGAACACGCATGGTGAGTGGGGTACTGCATACATACACACAGACACACCTGGAGAATGTGCATGGTGAGCTGGTGCTGCACACACACAAGTACACACACACATACAGGTATCCACACGTGCACACACCTGAAGAACATGCACAGCGAGTGGGGTGCTGCATCCATACACACACAGGTACGTACATACACACACCTGGAGAATGTACATGGCGAGCTGACACCACACACACACAGGCACACACGCACACACCTGGAACATGCACGGTGAGCTGGTGCTGCGCACACACACATGTATGGTACACACACACACGTGTACACACCTGGCGGATGTGCATGGTGAGCTGGTGTTGGGTGCTACAGAGCTTTTCACACAGCGGGCAGCTGTAGGACGATTTCTCTTCCTTCGTCTCCTGCCGAGAGAGAAGCAGAGGCTGAGTCCCGCCCAGGGCCTCCCTTTCCTCAATGACTGGACCTGGCCCTCGGCTGTGGACAGGGCTCTATCCCAGGACACGGCTGCATGGAGCATGTCACGCTGGACCCCGCGGTCATGGACAGCAGGATGGCAAAGTCAGCGGTTCCCCCCACGGACCCTGGGTGCCTCGGGGCAAACCCCCCTGAGGGTGGATGCCCAGTTCGCGCCTGTCCCCTGCTGGCAGTTGGCACCTGCTGTCAACCCGCTGTGGTGGAGACGGGAAGGCGCTCACAGGTTCCTGCCCTCTGACCTGTGTTCTTTAGCACTTGGGGGTGGCGTGGAGGCGGGTGCTGGAGCCCCCGCAGTTCTGCCCCTACCTGTGCAGGGGAGCAAGGGGTGCAGCGCCTGGCAGGCTGCCCAGAGCTTTCAGGAACCCCAGGGTGGGGCTGGACCCGTCTCCCAGGAGACGAAGTCACTGAGCACTGTGGGGTCCTGGCAGGCCAGACGGGGGCTGCCCCCACCCTGAGTCTCTCTACCGCACACCTGAGCCCAGTCCGAGCTTTCCTGCAGCAGCTGGCTGGGACCCTGTTTCTGGATGAAGAAATGAGGTCCGGAGAGGTCCAGCCAGGGGGACGCGAGATGCAGATGAGGGAGAGAAGGGGTCTCCCCACCCGCACCACGAGACAAGAGGGGCCATGCAGAGAGGGGTGCGGGGCCCCCTGGGGACGCAGACAGGACATGCAGATGGAGGATGCGAGGGAAGTCGGCCGCGTCAGGCTCACCAATCTGTGCTCACCAGTGAACCCCGTTTCCTCAGGCCCCAAACCCACAGGTGCGGGCTACAGGAATGTGCGGCCCCCACCCAGTACCCACAAAACCCATGTCACAGCGTATCCCCGACAGGCCTGGCCCAGACCAGAGCCCACAGTGGGCCCTCTGCCTTGGCGGCCTCAAGGGCATTCAAAAAAAGGGGCCCGGCCCACGCCCAGGCACGTGCTGGAGGCCAGCTGCATCCCAGGCTCCCCGAGCACCACCAGGTGGCGGACCCCCGCGTCCAAACCCAACAAAAACAGCCTGCAGGGGGGGGCGGCCGCCAGCCTGTGTCCAGCAGGGCTGTCGGGCGGGCGCTGACAGGTGTCGGCACAGCGAAGGTGCTAACTCCATCCTGACGAGGCGCCGCCACAGCTAATCCGGGCTGGAGAGGGCAGCGAGGTGTGGGCAGCACCCCAGGCCTGGCTCCTGCCTCGGCCGCTGCCCAGGAGGGTGGGGAGGGTGGCCGGGGGGTGGTGAGCAGCGACAGGCTGATGACCCCTGGCGTCCGGAGTCCTCGACTGTGGCCTGTGGAATGGGGCGGTGGGTGTCTGTCCCGGGCTCGGGCGTGCAATGGCGGGGGTGGGGGGGATGCATGGCAGATGGACAGATGCACAGGCAGGAGAGAGAGAGACAGAACCTGTTCTCGGAGCTCACGCCTCGCCGGGCCTTGGGTGCCCGTGCAGGGGGCAGCAGAGAAGAGGAGAGAGAGAGGAAGGTCAGTGCCCACCCCAGCCCACGCAGCCCACTCGTTGATGACGGAACCTGCAGGGTGGAGGGGCCCTGGCAGGGCTGTCCGGGAGGGGGTCGGAGGTAAGACCCATGCCCTCCACACCCCAGAAACCCGGCAGCTTCTCCAGGCCCCACATGAGGGGCTGCACACCAGGCCCCTCCCGCAGTGACCCCCAAAGCAGCATCTTCCCCTCAGGTGACCTGGAGGACTGACCCCTCTGAAGCGGGCTCGCCACTCCAGGCTCCCACCCCTGCTCCCTGCAGGCTACCGTGGAGCCCAAAAAGTGCCCATAGTGATGTGCTGAGTGAGGACTCAACTCGGAAGTGACAGACCCCACAGCTGCTCTGAAGGTCCTCCGAGAAACACGCTCACGTGGGCTACAGAAACTCAGTCCTGAAAGCCTCAGGCCGTGTGTCCCTGCATGAGTCTGTGTGTGCGGGTCCGTGGGTGTGCAGGTGTGTGTGTGTGTGTACAAGTGCATGCAGGGGCGTGTGTGTGCAAGTGTTTGAGGGTGTGCAGGTGTGTGTGTATGTGTGTGCACGTGTCTATGTGTGTGTGTGTGTGTGTGCAGATCTCTGGGGGTGTGCAGTTGTGTGTGTGGGGTGTACAAGCCTTGCAGGGGCGTGTGTGTGTTGGTGTCTGGGGGTGTGCAGGAGTGTGTGTGTGTGTAGGTGTCGGGGGGTGCAGGAGTGTGTGTGTGTGTGCAGAGGGTGTGCAGGGGTGTGTGTGTGTGTGTGTGTGTGTGTGTGTGTGTGCCTGCCAGTGTCTGGGGGTGTGCAGGTGTGTGTATGCAGATGTCTGGGGGTGTGCAGGTGTGTGTGTTGGGAGGTGTACAAGCCTTTGCAGGGGCATGTGTGTGCAGGTGTCTGGGGCTTGGGGATGACTGTGTGTGCACACGGTCTGCTCACATGACCCCGAGGCTCTGAGAAGCGAGGGTTGGGGCGCTAGGGTTCCTTTCCAGGGAGCTGCCCACCTAGCTACCCTCCCAGTGCCCAGACGCTTACCTGGTTCCTCCTGCCGATCCGGTTTGGTCCCGGAGCTTTTGAGGGAGACTTGATCCGAGGAGGGCTCCCGCCATTCTCGGCCACCTTCCCCACGGCCATCACGGCGGACATCATGGTGTTGATGGAAGACAAGTCGGACCCCTCCACACCCGCTGGCGAACTCGACGCCATCACGACAAGCGTCGTCGTGCTTTGGGGTCCTCAGCCGTCCAGCTGCAGACCAGAATGGCCAGTGTGCTCACTGGTGTGCCCACAACTGTGGCCACAGGTGTGCTCCTGGGTGTCCCCAGAGGCCCCGCTGAGGGCCCGATCCTCCCTTCCGCGGGCATCCCATCCTCACCTCACAGTATGAGTGGCGTGAGAGAGTTCTGGGCTACACACACAACAGGGATAGTCCCACTTCCTCCTGGCGTGCCTCTAAACCCACTCAGGTCACCAGGGCCAGGCCCCATCTTCCCGCACCTCTCCCAGGGCCCAGCCATCCTGCTCCCAGACACCAGGCTAAACCTCAGGGCTGACCCACATCTTGTCCATATCCCGCAGACGCAAAGGCCAGCCGGGAGATGGATGCAGGCCAGTGCAGGCCCCATCGAGGAGAAGACCCTGTTTTATGATTTCATTGATGTTACTTTCTGGTCTGGGGGCCATACCCAGTGGTGTTCGGGGCTTACTCCTGGCGGGGCTCGGAGACCCTACGTAGTACCAGGACAGGACTCGGGTCAGATGGCATGTAAGGCAAGCGCCTAACCCCTTTGCCATCCCTTTGGCCCCAAAACACAATTTCTGACCAAATTCCAGTTGACTTTTTATCTCAGGAACACAAGCACACACCGGGATTACCTCCATGTTCTGGGTCTCCTCAAGGACTGTGTCCAGGCCAGGAATGCTCAGTCTTTCTGTCTTCACTGGGTGGACACTGCAGGGGAGAGGCAGGTGAGGAGGTCAGCAATCCTGCCGCCAGGCAGCACCCTTGACCCTATGCCCCTGAGGCTCCCCCAACCATGACCTCAGAAGCCCCGAGGCGGTGCTAGGTGCGCCTTCGACACCACTTCTGCAGGTCGCATCTTACTTCCTGCTCAGCTCCAGCACCCGCCTGGCCTCCAGACCCTCTCGCGCTGCTGCCCCAACAGAATGGCCCCAAGGCAGGGCCCTGGAACTCAGAGACACTGACCTGTCCACTCGCGGCTGCCGAGGCAGTGTCACACGTCAGCTGAGCAGCTCAGCAGCCTATGGAAGGAGACAGAGAGGGTCTTGGTGCTGGGGGTCACTCTCGAGGGGATGCCATCTGCCCCGCCCTCGGGAGCAAGCCATCCCGTGCCGGTGCCTGAGCAGGGGCCTCCAGCGAGAGCCCCAGTGTGACCCAAGACCACACGACACGTATCTGCGGGGCGTAGGGGCTGCAGAGCACAGCTGGGCCCCTGCTGTTACCCGGGAGGGGCGCAGGCACGAGGGGGGCGCAGGGTGCTGCTGAGGCAGTGATGCTCCACTGCCCGTCTGTCCCCCAGTGCTGCACCTGCGGAAACCCCGCTGGCGGAGTGTAGTGGGATGGGGCTCCCCTCTGCACCCCACTGCCCGGCGCAAACTCCCCAGACACAGGGCCCTGCAGGGACCACCACTCCCGTGTCCCGTGGAGCCCAGACACCCCCACAGGAACCACAGACCTAACCCCCACCGCCCTCACAGGCGCAGGCCCCTGAGGGCGAGACATAGGCACAACACCCCCCAACCCCCCTCGAGACACAGGTGCAGGCCCCCAAGCCACACTCCCAGCGGCAGGTACACGAGGCACCACGCCAGACTCAGCAGGCAGACCTGCAGACGTCCCTGGAAGCTGCCTCCCAGATGCGGGTCTGCAGGTGGGAGCCCCAGGACAGGCAGGAGGAAAGGGAGGGGCTCTTCCCGCAGGCGAGGGCACTGGGGACAGGCCAGGCCCTCCAGGAGGGAAGGGACAGTGCTCAGGGTGGGGACCCCACTTCACTGGCTCCATCCAGGGGGCTGCTCCGGGGGGCTGCCCCGAGGGGCCCGGCCAGACACATCCTCCTCCCCGAGGGGAGGCTTCTCTCAGAGGGCCAGACCTCCAACTACAGCAAGGCTCCGAGCTCAGTTTATCTCCTCACCTACCAATCCCTGCGTGCCCCCCCTCACAGGGGCCTTGTCCCTGCACCCCGGATCAGGGCCTGCTCATGCCTGCACAGGATGGAGAAGGGGGCACCGTCCCGCACACCCCCCGTGTCCTGGGAGCCAGGGCTCCGGCAGCGGGGCCCTTGTCCCCGGAGAGCAGGGCCCACCCCAAGCCGAGTCTGCGGAAAAGTGACACTCCGAGACGGGCTACTGCCAGCCACCCCCAGCACAGCGGGCAAGAGGCTCTCGAAGCAGCAGCCACCCGCAGGCCCGGCGGGAGGGGCGGGGAGCTGGGGCAGAGCAGAAAGCCCCGGCCCTCCCCCACACGACCCCAGAGCACTGAGAGGGCCAGGGGACTGCTCTGCCCCACCCCAGGCCCAGGGTCAGACCCAGGACCCCACACCTGGCCCAGCGCTGTGTTCTGGACACAGCAGGTCGGTGGGGGCGCCTGTGCCCCAGGCCCACGGGACAGACACTGTGATAAAGGCCGTGCCACAGCGCCCCCGCTTTATCTGCCCTCCGCAGCTCGCCATGCTGGGAGCGGGTGGCCCTCCAACAGTCCAGCCTTATCTCCACTGACCGCTAGCCCAGCCCGCCTGTTCCTGAGCTCGCGGGGCTGTTGGCCTGGCGTGGGGCGGACCCGTAGGCACCTACACCGAAGCTTCTCGGCGAAGCCTGTCCCAGGCCTCCGAGTTCACCCTCCTCCCAGCAGGGTGCCCCAGTTCCACTGCAAATGTGTCCTCCCCCACCACCCTGGACCCCCACCCCGGGCTCCTAGACACCAGCCACTGAGAAAACACCCCCGCAAGAACAAGGACAAGGCGTCATCTGGGGCTGGGGCAGCAACGAGGAGCTCCAGACGGCCCATGTGCTCCCTGGGAGAGCAGGAGTCCTCGCAGAGTGCTCCCTCGCACAGTGCTCTGAAGCAAAGGCCCGGCGGGCGGCAGCACAGACCCGGCCCGCACATGCCCCCCTCACAGCACAGGTACTTTCAGGGGCTCAGCTCACGGCCAGGAAACAAGGGGGACGGAGGAAGCAGGGGTGCGTGTGGCCGCCAGGGGCGGTCCAGCGGCTCCGCCAGCGTCGGCTTCCTCCCGGCAGCGCGGGCAGGAACAACCTGTGCTGGCGCTTGCGAAATGGCCCCGTCCTCCCGGGAGCCTGAGCCCAGGAAGCGCGGCCACCCGAGGCCCGGCCCTCAGACCTGCGCCCCGCAGCACTGCCTGCCCCAGGCACTTGGCAGCTGGGGCTGGGCCGGGGCCTCTGCCTCCCTCTGGGAACAGAAACCCCCAGGCCACCGCCCCGGGGCACAGAGGTCACTGTGGCCAGTGAAAAGGAAGAGGTACAGCTGGCATCCCCGCCCCCAGGAGCCAACCCAGACACGCGGGACCGCGCGGGTGAGGTCACACGGGTGGCCACGGCAGGCGCAGAGGCCATGTGCAGCCGAACCAGGCCTCGCGGCAGGCCGGCATCCCGTCTGGGGCAAAGGGCCGCCAGTCTCCAGCGCCCGCCTGGACGGGCAGACGGGACAGTGTCTGGGCCTTTGCCCCCCATCCCTCTCAGACAGGCTTCCTGTGCCGGAAGTCCCTCTGCGCCTGCAGCGGTGACCCGTGGGGGGCGGGGGACAAAGTGCCTTTTCCGGCCTGCGGAGAAAGAGGATCTTGGACCCTGCGTGGCTCTCGCATCGGAAGCATACGGCTGGCCGCACGTGGGCCTCAGAGTCCGCTGAGGGCCCGATGTCTCCGCCCCAAGCCACCAGCCAGTCAGGCCAGGGGCCCCCCAGGAGAGCTCTGAGTGAAGCCACCTGGGGGATGCAGGGGACGCGGCAGACTCAAATGCCGGAAGCAGCCTGGAGACCCCAGAGGGCCCCCAAAGGGGAGGGGCTGGAAGGAGCCCGACATCTCCCCCAGGAGAAGCCCCACAACTCAGTCACAACGCCGGGTGCGCCCTGACTTCGGTTTGGGGGGTCACACCCTTGTCTGGCTGGTGCAGGGGGGAGCAGGGGGAAGGCCAGCCTGCAGCAGCTCCCAGGTGACCAGAGTGGAGACACGGTGGGTGGGGTCACGGAACACCCGGTTGGCAGGGCCTGTTGAAGGGAGCGTGCGTGCAGGGCCCAGGATGCGGGAGGGAAGGGACCGCGCTGAGGGCATCTGGGGGGCACCCTGGGGCCAGCAAGGGGAGGGGAAGACAGCACTGGCTCTGCTGGCTGTGACCAAGGGCATCTGGGGGACGCGGGGGCTGAGCACCGCCCACCCCTAGGCGGCCACTGCTGACTCGGGGACTGCAGGGTATTCCCAGCCGGGTCCACAGGGGCACACATGCTCCTGAGCTGGACCCTCCTAGGGAAGTAGCCCCCAGGGACCCCCCCAAAAAGGACCTGAGTTCAGCACCTCTGCCCTCACCTCAGACACTACAGGGGACGGCAGGGCCGAGAGTGCAGGGTCGCCATCAGGAGCACAGCCCCCCACCAGGGCTCACAGGCACACAAGCACCAGAACCCCATGCACGGAGCCTCTGAGCCCACACACGCCCCTGCCTGCCCCCAGGAGCACTGTGCACCGAGCAGAGAAGCTGCGGGTCAGTGGGCATGTGAAGTCACATGTCCAGCCGGGTGGGAAGGAAACATCTTGCTCAGAGCCTCACGGAGCAGGGAGGCGGGGGCGGGGGGCTGGCTCCATGTCCTGTGCCCACCTGGCGGTCCACCAGGCCGCGGTCGTTCCAGTCGGCTGAGCCCAGAGACAAAGGCGGGGAAGGCCGGCCCCACACTCGGATGGCCGCCGAGGCCCAGTTAATAATTAAAGTCCAGGGCAGCAGACGGCCGCTACTGAGAAGCAGGCCCGGGGTCCCGGAAGCCAACCCCCTTCATTCTAAGATCGGGGGCGTCTCTCTACCTCTGCCTGAACCCCGGGGGCGAAGGTGGGCTCGCAAGGTCGTTGCATCGGAGACACCTTTCCCCGTGGAAGCCCAGGTCATGCTGGGGCAGGCTCCTCCCTCAGGGACACAGGGCCTTGGGCCTTGGAGGAGCACCGGGGCCAGAGAACGGAGCCTCCCAGGCCGACCCGCTACAGAGCAGCTCCGGAGGGCATCTGGCGAATGCCCGTCCCACCTGTGGCCCCGAGCACAGGCACTGCTGCTGGGGCTCCCCTGCACTCCCGCCAGCTCCTTCCCGCCCCGGCAGAGGAAGCCACCGCCTGCCGGGCGTCCCTGCCTCCCTGCTTGTCACCCCCACCCCCGCCCACCCCGTGGAAGAACCCCGACTGCCTCACGCGGAAGACGCACGGGGCGGACCCGAGCAAGCACTGGCCACAGCCACAAAGAAAAACACAAGCCCCCAAGCGAGGCTGCACACACAGGCCAGCTGCCGGGCGCACGGCGGGGATACGCAGAACTCACGCACACCAGCCCGCCCGTCCATCCCCTGACCTGATTCACCTGTCCCCCCACCCTAGCTGCAACCCCTCCATTTCCTCACCATCCCGTACCTGTCGGTACACCTGTCTACCACCCACCATCCCTCCATCCCTCGTTCACGTGCCCATCCATCCATCACCTATAATCCATCACCCATGATCCACCCACCCTCACTCCCCCAGAGCGGGGGAACAGCTCCCTCTACAGGGCTCCTGTTCCTGACTTCTAGGCCCAGTTCCTGGTTTCTGGTCAAGGGGCTGGGGGGGGGGGGGGGGGGGGGGGGGCGCCGAGGTACCCAGCTCTTCTCCAGGGACAGCACATGAACAGGCTCACCCCCAGGCTGCCGGCACCCCCACTGTGTGGTTACCCATGACGGCCACGCTCCACCCAGGAGGCTGGGGGACAGGAAGCGAAGCCCTTCCTGCCACTGCCCTGCACTGAGCTCTGGCCTTGTGGAGGCCGCCTGGAAGCCCGTGGGGCACAGGTGCACCCCTAGGTGCAGGCGTTCCACGTCTGCCTCGTGCCACGGGGAGGACGCCATCAAGCACCTAAGAAGCAGGGGATGTCCTCTGCATGCCCGCAGGTGGGCTGGTCCATCATGGCGGGTGTCTGCCTGGTTTGCTTCTTTACAGAAGCCCCTGTGGACACGCTGAGGAGTGGCTTGGCTGGTGTGCAGACCCAGCTCAATCTCTAACACT